ACGCTAACGTTATTATAATTAGTTAAACACCCAACTCGATATACTCGAATTTGTTTGGAAAAAAATTCACAACGTATTAATATGATTAACCAAAATTCTAGCGCGATTTTTATTACGTTAACGCTAACGTTATTATAATTAGTTAAACAGCCAACTCGATATACTCAAATTTGTTTGGAAAAAAATTCACAACGTATTAATATGATTAACGTTAACGTAATTAAAACAGCCAACTCGAAGTTCGTTGGGAAAAAAGAAACGGCGCGTTTCGTTAACTGTATTAATATTAGCACAGTCGTTTATCAGATGGGCGAGCCCGGAGAGATGGTTATCGCCGTTATCAGTCCGACACGGAAATCCCATTGGTCCAAATTGATTAGGAGAATGCGTTCCGGGCGAGCGATAACACGTAAATGTACACAGGCAATTAGCGTCGACCGTTGTTACGTCGGGTACTAATACGCGAACCGCGTAAATGTTTTACCCGCTAAATAGCCCCACAGACGGTTACCTGATCGATGGTCTCGCGAGCTACGCGAGCTCGAATTTCACGCATACTGATGCAGTAATCGAAACGTCGATTATTCTATTCCTCCTGGTCATTTATGTAGTAGTTAGTGCTATTTTTCATCCAAACACAAATAATTGTGGCATTAAACACCAATCACTCAGTCACTCAATAACGATTCCCGCTTTATTACTATTAATTATTGTAATTAGGAATTGAGAATTGTAATATATTTTCTATTATTTTCCATCCCAAAAAATCCAGGAATCCTCCGGTGCACCCCTGAACACAATCCGCCCGATTTCGGCGTGTACGCCGCTATCGGGCGATAATCTAATCAACGGCGGGGCTCCTACAATCATGCTCTAATGACATTCTAAATGCGGTTGCCGTTACGTCGACGCCCGAATATTACGTCTCGTCGATTCCATCATCAGTATCCATGCGACGGGTTTTCCGGGCGTCCTTGAAGTGCCTCGCGAATTCACGCCCGACGGTGCAGGCAGGTACTGCAGACTCGATTACCGGCGCCGTTTGCGCCGGTGGAAAACGAAAATAACCCGTTCCCTAATCCCCGGGGGACGGTTAGTTAGTTAGCGGAGGTAACGAAAGCGAAATCCCATCCCCGTCCTGTCCTATGTAGCTTGTAAACTGGTAAACTAATCCTTATCTGGCACAGCCGTCTCGCCACTACCGGATGCATAATTAACCGCTATGCACACATACGGTTAATTGTGGAAGGAGCAGAGATTACTCCTCGTTCCCAATTTCGAATATCCAGACCCGTATCGAGAATTGCCTCATAGGTATTATAGGATAGCGAATTTACCAGACCCGTATCCTTATTTGCCTCATGTAGGTAGATCATGTCTTATTAGGCTAGTGAACTTCCAGACCCTTATCCAGAAAAATCCATATGTATCCAGATATCCAGAGAATATTTTAGAAAGAAATATCCTTGCTTGTCTGGGAAAATCTGCGGTGATTTGGGTATGCATCGTTATAATTAGGATGGGGTTCTGGGCGGCTAATTATTCAGCGATTTGGCGGATTAGGATCGATAAAGACCGGTGAAAAGCGGCGCAAAAAGGAAACAAAGTGAGCGAAATATCGAGGCGGGGGGTGGGAAAAAAGCGGGTCGCGGAAAGGGTGCCTAAAAAGAATCCGTTTTTAAAATAGCATTCGTCGGATGAAGGAAAACAATGGGACGCGATGACTGGAAAATACCCTTTTAGGGGACGGCAAATGAACGGGAAGTTTGTCGTCTTTTCTTTCCGATAACGAGTTCCAGATACAAACCGATTTTTTTTTGGTCGTATTATTTTTACTTACTCATCTATTTCGAGCGTTCCGTGCGATTTAATTAGTTTCGAACGGAGTAAATCGGATCTTTAATTAACGCGAAATTAAAAAGCTGCAATTCGGAAACCCAAAAGGCTTCAAGTGGTTCAAGTTTTCTATTCGTCTTGCGCACCAAAACTTTTTCGGTTTCTTAACTAGATTTTATAATTAGATAATAATAATTAATAGAATTCAAACACACATTTGGATCAATCAATCATTAGTGTTTGTTATTTTTATTCTTTATATATCTAAATTGAACCACATAAAAGCGTTATACCTAGAAAACTAAAGAAGCAAGTAAATGCACAGGAATTTAAATAACATTATATCCCGCGGTACGTTTTTTGCAGGCAGCTCGGTAGCGCGAAGAGCCCGAAAAGAAAAAGCCCCGAAAAAAAAAAAGCGGAGGAATAAAGAACGCGATGAAACAGTTAACCGAAAGATTTCACGCCTCCATTGTTCGTCGAGGCAATCTCGCTGGAAAATCCCGCAATCTCTCTCGAGAGTTTCGAGTGTCGCCTAGCCGGCACGAATCGACCCGAACCCGCGTGTCTCCGGTACAGCGTATAGCGTATACGTGCACGAATATATCCCGGCGTATACGCGTACACGTTCTGGAATATCGGATTTCCGAAAAGGTTTCGGAGTTAGAGGTTGCGGTTGTTTGATAAGGAATCGACAGGGCGGTATCCGAACCATTATTTTTCTTCTATTTTCTACAAGTCATAATAAGGTTAATGTCTAAAAAATGGCTCAAAAGTAGAGTAGAGGTATGGAGTATGGAGTAGAGTAGAGTATATGTAGATTCAGATTAGACAAAGTTTCAGGGTCGATTCGAAACCATTATTTTCCTTCTATTTTCTACAAGTCATAAGGTTAATGTCTAAAAAATGGTTAAAAAGTAGAGTAGAGGTATGGAGTATGGAGTAGAGTAGATTCGGAGTAGGTAGAGTAGAGTAGATTCGGAGTAGGTAGAGTAGAGTATATGTAGATTCAAATTAGACAAAGTTTCAGGGTCGATTCAGAGTAGATTCGGAAATAGTTTTAGAATAGTTTCAGAGTCGATTCAAATTAGGTAGATTCAGAGTAAATTCAGAGTTGTTTCGGAATAGTTTCAGAATAGTTACAGAGTCGAGTATATTCAGAGTAAAGTGGCATCATATTCTAGTAGAATATTCTGAATTACATTTTATTATATCAATCGCGGGAGCCAAAAGCAATATTGAACAAATTATACGCCCAATTTACTGTGAACCTCCCATCTCCCAATTTTTCCACATTGCTATTTTTTTTCGTCAGACCATCTGCACCCAATTTACGCCCGTTCTCCGGCGCAAAGGCACACGTCGAATTCTCGACCGTCTCCGCTTTCGAATTAATTCGACCTCGCTTCGCTTATCGCCTTCGCATCCGCAAAACGGTCTCGAATTAATCCGACGAAATACGTGATCGGGGCCCGGCCGGATCGTCCGCGTACCGTCCCGACTACGGCCCATCGCCCGCGTTAGTACACACACGCCGCTCCGTCCGGCGGGCCCGCTGGCGGTGCTCGCCTTCTCCGTCTCGCCCGCTCGTCCGGCCTCTTCTCGCGCCCGCCGAGCTAATGGCACCCGATACGGAGCCGCCGTTTTTACCGCCGTCCCGGCGACGCGACTACCGTGCCCAGGGCCGGGCTCGCCCCGGCGACGCGTTGGTAGATCGGCGGATGGGTGTAATTAATAGCACGGTCGATGTTGGGGAGTATATGCGGAGAAGTTAGTTACAACGTGGGTGGTTTTGGATCGATTTTTTTAATATTAAATTCGGAGGAATTAATTTTCTAAATAATTTTTTTGAAAGAGATTTTTTGTGATCAAATGTTTGGTAGGTACGGCTATTAGAGGAGTTTGGGAGTTTTTATGGAGAAGTATAAAGTAGAATAGAGAAGAGTAATTAGTAACGCTTATTTTGTAACAGTCGTTACTGCACCTCTATACCAAAAAAAGATTCCCACATCTATTAAACTAATGCCATTCGAAATGTCATTAATGTCAATTTTGAAATTTCTTTTCTAGGGGTGCGTTCCAAAACTCCAACTTTTTACTCGAGTCGTTCAAAAACAACGAGTTATGTTAAGAGTTGAATTACACTGATCGTTCCGGAATTAGTTTTCTCACTCGAGGTTACAACTTTTCGACGGTGCCTGGAAGTGCGACGAATAGTTGTAATAATGACAGTAGACAATTTTAAATGGAAGATTTTGTGTTCTGTGTTACGTTTGTCTACCCGAGTAGTTTTGTATTGGTACTATTGGTAGTGCTAGTGCATTGTATTATATTTTGTAAAGAACAGAGATCATTTTATTTACGATGAACTGTGATTACAATTTATTGTTAGACGATATGAATGTCATCGTCAAGTTAAATGTCAAAACGTTAACATCTAAAACGTCAAACTTTCCAGTTACAGTTATGTCAACTTGTCAACTACTAAATGTCAAGTAAACGAACCACTCCAACCATCGGGCAAGTTTTGGAACGCACCCTGGAGTAGAGTATAGTGGAATGTGGAATTAGTGCAGCGCGAAGGTAACAAAAAGTTTTGGTAAGTTAAAAAAAATAATCAAGTAAATTCGGTGCGGGGTACTGGCACGACTAATCACAGTACCTACGCTATTTTAACGGTTTTTCCGATTTCGTAATAAACAGTTCCAACGCGCACGCATCGCGCGAAATTACACGCTTTACGAGAAAGCGAAATTTCCGAGCAGGACCTCGCAAAAACGAAATATAATAACACACCACGCCCGATACCGAACGGTACAAAACCCGTCTCGTAACCCCGTTCGAAAAGCCCGGCACCGTGAAAGAAAAAAAAAAACAACCAACACGAGCGAGCGAGCGAGCAGCAGGAAAATAAATCGCGGACCTTTTTATCTTCTCCGTTCGAGCGGGACGTCGTCATCTGATTGCTTGAATGAACAACGGCCCCGTTATGTTTCGTGCCTTCGCGACTCCGAATCTCGTCAAAGCGATACTTTCGTGCAATTCGAAAACTTGTTGATTGTCAACAAGTGTTTCGGCAACGAGTTTTCGACGATTCCCATTCATCTCGAAAATAAATAACATCCAAACGAGCCGATTCCTAAGCGATTTAAAACGAATCTTACCTTGAAAGGAGCGTTCGGGACGTACAACGGCGGGTCCTTGGCGCTGCCGGTCGATTTCTCGCTGACCGGGGGAATCCCATCGTCCATGTCACAAACACTGTACCGTCCCACGATCCCGTCGGCCGGCTTGGGTTCGTACCCGCCCGGCCGGCCCACGCAGAACCCCTTGGCCTTCACCCAGAACCGGAACTTGCTGTTGTCGGCGCTGACGATCTCCTCGCCGCGTAACGTGCGCAAGATGCGCGCGTACTTCTTCAGCGTGATGGTCTTGGTCTTGGCCAGATCGCCGTAGGTCTGGATGACCCACGGCTGGTACGTGGCCAGCATCTCCTCCTTGTTGTCGGCGCTGACGCGCTGCTGGCTGCGATGGTCGTTGTTGTTCTGCTCGGACCTGGCCGATTTGCCAGAGGGCTTCTTCTTGCCCGGCTTCCGCGTCGGCTTGTGCAGGAATTCCTTCTCGGACAGCTTGCGAGACGGCAGCGTGGCCATCGCGATGGGTTATACCTGGTTTAAAAAACGCGGTTCAATGGGTATAAATCCTTTCTGGGAAATTTCTGTTGACCCACCGTGTTTACCATAATTACACATCCATTAAAAGTTGTTTAAGAGGTATAGGGGAACTAAGATCGAGGCTGTAAATGAGTCGGTAAACAGGATGGAATATTTGATGAAGCGTGCAAATAAAAGTGAACATAATTTCGTTAACGAAAATAGCCCAGAAGCTCTTGTTCTTTCGATCATTTCACCACTGTATTGTAATTTCGTAATATTCTCTTGAAATTGTTTTTCTATAATTATGCCAATGTTAGTGTTAGTATTTTGATGGGTTTTTGAGTAAAAAAATTCAATTAATACGTACCTTAAAAAACTGTCCTTTTGATCACCGCACAATAATTATCCGAAAACTTTACACACCTTCCAAACGAAAAAAAAAATATGACAAAAAAGTTCGCGTGTCCCGAAAGCGGGCACGACAACAAAATATTGTTGACCGCGTAACCACGGCGACGCGTCCGTCGGGCCGTCCCGTCGCGGGCGAAAGCTCCAACCGAAAGGCGCAGCACGCGTCCGGCTAAGCGCGGCGCCGAGAAAATCCAATCCTCGCCGATACCACCGTCGAGCGCGTCCCGTAGCTGAAGCGAAGAGCGCACTCAGCGGACTGTGCGTCGGCGAAACGATGCGACGGGACCCTTTCCTACGGGCTGCGGGCGCCCCCTTCGCCGCGCCCCGGCCGCCCCCCTCGCCCCGGCCCGGCCCGCGTGTACGCGCCTCTCGCCTAGCGCCTAGCGGTAGCCGAACGAGGACCGGCCCGTAAGGGGATCTCCGGCCGGTCGAGAGCGACCGAGGCGCCGGCGATCCGCTCCGGCCGCGGATATTTCACGCACCGGTTAACAACGCATACATATTTCGCGTCGTTTGATTTACTAAAATAATTAGTTTTTCGAAAATACCGACGAGAAAAAATCGCTTCGTTACCATGCTATCGGGGAGCTAAAATTAAAGTGGGAAAGAACGCTTCATTAGCATGCTATTGGGAAGCTGATATAAAAGTGACAAAAATGGTTGGGAAGCTAAAATAAAAGAGAGAAAGAAGCTTCATTACCAAGCTATCGGGGAGCTAAAATTAAAGTGGGAAAGAACGCTTCATTACCATGCTATTGGGAAGCTGATATAAAAGTGACAAAAAATGTTGGGAAACTAAAATAAAAGAGAGAAAGAAGCTTCATTACCACGCTGTCAGGAAGCTAAAATTAAAGTGAGAAAGAACGCCTTATTAGCATGCTATTGGGAAGCTGATATAAAAGTGACAAAAAATGTTGGGAAGCTAAAATAAAAGAGAGAAAGAAGCTTCATTACCACGCTATAGGGAAGCTAAAGTGAGCAAGAACACCTCGTATCCATATGCATATTTCACGTCATTTAATTTACTAAAATAATTAGTTTTTCGAAAATACCAACGAGAAAAAATCGCTTCATAACCACGCTATCGGGAAGCTAAAATTAAAGTGAGAAAGAAAGCTTCATTAGCATGCTATTGGGAAGCTAATATAAAAGCGACAAAAAATGTTGGGAAGCTAAAATAAAAGAGAGAAGGAACGCTCCATTAGCACGCTATTGGGGAGCTAAAATTAAAGTGAGAAAGAACGCTTCATTACCATGCTATTGGGAAGCTGATATAAAAGTGACAAAAAATGTTGGGAAGCTAAAATAAAAGAGAGAAAGAAGCTTCATTACCACGCTGTCAGGAAGCTAAAATTAAAGTGAGAAAGAACGCTTCATTAGCATGCTATTGGGAAGCTGATATAAAAGTGACAAAAATGTTGGGAAGATAAAATAAACGAGAGAAAGAAGCTTCATTACCACGCTATAGGGAAGCTAAAGTGAGCAAGAACACCTCGTATCCATATGCATATTTCACGTCATTTAATTTACTAAAATAATTAGTTTTTCGAAAATACCAACGAGAAAAAATCGCTTCATAACCACGCTATCGGGAAGCTAAAATTAAAGTGAGAAAGAAAGCTTCATTAGCATGCTATTGGGAAGCTAATATAAAAGCGACAAAAAATGTTGGGAAGCTAAAATAAAAGAGAGAAGGAACGCTCCATTAGCATGCTATTGGGGAGCTAAAATTAAAGTGGGAAAGAACGCTTCATTACCACGCTATAGGGAAGCTAAAGTGAGCAAGAACACCTCGTATCCATATGCATATTTCACGTCATTTAATTTACTAAAATAATTAGTTTTTCGAAAATACCAACGAGAAAAAATCGCTTCATAACCACGCTATCGGGAAGCTAAAATTAAAGTGAGAAAGAAAGCTTCATTAGCATGCTATTGGGAAGCTAATATAAAAGCGACAAAAAATGTTGGGAAGCTAAAATAAAAGAGAGAAGGAACGCTCCATTAGCATGCTATTGGGAAGCTAATATAAAAGTGACAAAAAATTTGGGAAGCTAAAATAAAAAAAAGAAAGAAGCTTCATTACCATACGCTATAGAGAAGCTAAAGTGAGCAAGAACACTTCGTTGTAGCATGCTGCAAGCCAAGCTAAATTGGGAGTAATAGGGAACTCATAAAACGCTTCATTAGCACGCGAGCGATATTTTTTTGAAGATTTTCTATTAATTATAATATGAGCGATGATTGACCGTTGGTGGGATTTACGTCGGCCCGCGGAGCAAAGAGCGAACGACGAGCATCCGCGGTATTCTCGAAGAAGACAGATGGGTCATTATGAGAAAGTCGACACCGGCTCGGCCAGGGATGGACTTGGACTTCTCTGTTATACGATTAATTGTAGATATTAAAATCGAAATTCCAAAATTTGCCGGGTAGCTACGTTAACATTAAAACATTGACGCAATCGACGCCGCCCCGTATCGAATTAATTCCATTAAATCTATTATTTTCACTATCTATAATCACCAAAGCGATAACTACGCATACGTGGTAATTAATTCAATTCGCTAAAATAACATAAAAATACGAATACAAAAAAAATGTAACCAATTGCACAACCGTCCGTCCTCCATCCGCCGCTGCGAAACCGCCGGGGCCGGTCATTAAAAAACGAAATTAATCTATTTAGTCCGCCGGCGGGCGGACGTTACGTGTAACGGTCATTGATTATACGCCGCGCCGAGAACCAAAGAGCCGGAGATCGCAAACAAAACGATCCTATCTCGCGGCACAAACGTCGAATCAGACGTGCATCCGGGCGCCGAGCAATAGCCACCGGACCTAATGCCCGTTACACCTACCTAATTCAGATTTTTAAAATTTTTACTACTCTACGAGTAGAAGAGGAATCGCTATATTTTTAGCATCAATGACGCACGCACGAGAAACCAATCAAGCTGAACGACAACAAAAACCTTAATTGGAAGCCTCACGAAACGTCCCAGCGACTGCTCGAAACAATCCTTTGTACACAACGGGTTAGCCGAAAAAAGTGACCACCGGTTATCGTTTTGCCGTTCGGGTCCAGTTTTCTCCTCATCCCGGTCCGGCTCGCCCGTGGAATTCTTGACCCTAGAGGACCCGATGATTGTCGGTTATCGTGCGATCGAGCGACCCTCATCTTCGGCTCTCCCGCTCTCTTTGACGCTGATTGAAATCGTATTGGCCCTCGGGGAGATGATCCGCAGAGGAGGCCGGGCCGGATGCGTCACGGGACGGGAACGGAAAATATTCCATGGGCTTTGATTCCGGAATTAACGGCGTTCGATAGGTTCGTTTGATGTTTCATAAATGCCGGGAATTAATTGGCTTCTACCATGGTATAGGAAAAATGTGTTACTGGGCTACATAGCCTATGTATAGATAAATTTATTTTATTGTTGATATAGTATTTTTAAACAATTTCTTATAACAGGACTAATTAGGGAGAAGTGAACGAACTAGATGATGGAAGAGGACTTTAACATAGGAATCTAAAGTAAATATAGTACTATCGAGCTAGGTGATGGAAGAGGATTTGAACATGGAGTAAACAATACAATCCAGTTATTTAAATAAACAATCAAAACTGACTATTTAGCAGAGTTAGTCGATTTTTGTTATCTTTTTCAAACCGAACCAGAACCCGTTGCCGTCGAGATGAAAATCGCTGCGATTGATGCCGATGGGGATGGTGGATTTCTCGGTGGGGACGATCTCGAATCGCCTCAGGAGATGTACGAGCAGGACCTTGGCTTCCAAAATGGCGAAGCGGGAGCCAATGCAGTTCCTGGGGCCCAATCCGAAGGGGAAGAACGTGTAGGGTTTGATGAGCCGTTTGTTTTCCTCGTTGAAGCGTTCCGGATCGAACACCTCCGGATCGGGATAGTATTCGGGGTCTCGGTGGATGCCGAAGGTCGGTATAGTGATCAAGGTTCCCACGTCGAGGGTGACTTCTCGCTCGTCTGGTAGTTTCGGCTGGATCACGTACGACTTGGTGCAAACTCTTTCTACCGCTAGACCGCTGGGCCATTTTCTTAAACATTCTGTGGAATTGTTAGCGCTATTATCAATTTTTCGACAGTTCTAATGTTGCGTACCTGAAATGACCATATCTAGATAGTTCATATCGAGGATTTCCTCGTAGGAAATCGCCCCGTTGCATTTAGCGTATTTTTCGTTAATTTCCGCCCGCAATTTTCGTTGGATTTCCTGATTCACTACCAATTCGTAAGCTGTGAATTTCATCAGAGCCGAAACCGTATCGAAACCTCCAAAGAAGAATATTAAAGCCTGCGCCGTTATTTCGGTGTTAGTGATATCTCTAGCATGCGTATCGCTCGTACCTAAATTAACTATTAAATTATATAATTTTATACATAAGTATCCATAAGTACCGTAATTTTCCTCTTGACGCGCTACAGCAAAACCTCTATCGATAACGTTATCCTCTTTAATCAATTTTCCCTTTTTCGCATCCAAAATCAATTGGATCAAATCGGGTCGGTATATGTTCTGCTCTTCTCTGGTCCTCATCGTATCTTCCACCAAATTGGAGAAAAACGTTCGCACGTTTTCGCTGTACACTTTAATTCGCAAGAACTAGAAAACTCGAATTACCAACCGCACAGTTCACCTATCAAAGCGTTACCTTGAGAACCGACTCCGGGAAGAGGTAGTGTAGCAGATAAATGAACGACCTGAAGCCGGAGGTGTTGGTGGCTTCCAAGCCCATCTGGTAGAAGCGGCTGTCGGGCTTCCTCAGCGTATCCACTCGCACGCCGAAGACCGTGGTGGCGATGACGTTGCAAGTGAACCGCTTGAAGGTGTATTTGAGATCGACTTCGATGAGGTCCTCTTCTTTCTCGGCGAAATATTCGACGAAGCTCTCGGCGCAGCGGTTCATCAGCTTGTACATGGTCTTGATGCGGCTGCTGGTGAACGTCGGCCTGAAGAAGTTCCTCAGGTCTTTCCATTTTTGGCCTGAAAAATGGGAATTATTCGCTTGCTGGAAGGGTTTAAGGATTGGATAAGGAGGTTGTAGCTTAGAGTTAAGGGTAAGAGGATTATGGAGAATGTTTTACCTTTTAGAGAGAACAAATTTTGGTTCCATAATGGATCCGATTGTTCCGGTAACCAAGCACTATGGTCTTCGAAGTGCTCGAAATCTCGAATTGTGATTTCTTTGATCAAATCGGGGTCTTTTACTACCAAAATGGGGTAGTTGAATAAGTATGCTCCATAATATCTGCGGAAAATCAAATACGATTTCAGTATTTATAATTTTTGGTTATCAAATGCTTCTAATTGGAGTTATTAATTTTTTCTCGCTAATTAAAAAAATCAAAACAAAGCAGTCCCAGCAAATTTTCTATTCAATTGCCCATTAAATTAAGGCTTTATTAATTATATTTGTGTAGATAATCTGCTTAATTATGCGCTTTATTGTGACCATTTAAAAATCGTAAAATTATAAATTACCTTATTATTAATTATAATTCTTAGTGGTTCATTAAATTTGTCATAAATACCTGTATTTAGTGGGGATTTCTGATTTTGCATCTATTTAAAACAATTTTGGACAATATTAAATCCCCAAATATAGCTTACAATATCAAAAAATTCCCCTAAATTTAAGCTTCTTATAAGAAAAAGAGTTCCAAAGTTCGGAAAAAATATTTATCTGGCGAATTTTAAAATTCCAAAAATAACACTTACCTCCTTTGAGGAAATTTTTTGTAGAGGTATTGAAGCAGTTCCGCGAAACTGTGAAGTCTAAAGACAAATCCCCAGGCGTCGCCCAATAACCACAATGATTTTCCCTGATGAACGCCCTTATTTCTCCAATATTTGTGGGGCCGGATACAAAACCAATGAAAGGCAACTAGTAAAACCGCCAGTAATTCCCACATATTCGTACAGTCCCGTCAATATACTGCGCTTTTTTCGGATCGCAGGAGCTTTTATATTGGTGTTAACCATCAAATTATGTTCAACACGGCAGGTAATAAGTTCAATATGGTTTTTAGCACGGTTCGGCACGGTTTAACAAGGCAATTAAATAAAATTGCTTAATTAAATTGCCTAGTAAAATTAGTTGTTTTAAATATCGCGATTTCATGGAGATGTTTTCCGACGAGGATAATCCGCCGGTTTTCATTGAATTTTATGTTCCAGATTTCTACGCACAATTTTTAAATGGGTCCCATATAAAAAACGAAACAATTAAAGCAAACCAAATCCGTATGTGCCTAATAAAAGAATTGTTTTTTTCGTAAAATTATAATGGTCTAGAAAATAAATGTTATAGTAGTGTAAAATGACCAGTATAGAACAGACGTTAAAAATCTATCTACAGTAGTTTTCTCAACGCCCAACTAAACGAGATATCAATAAAAACTCGTTGGGAATGGACCGTTACGAGATGAACATATTACCAGAGCTCCTCTCGCATCTCATGCACGGCATAGGAATGGACCAGTGGTGACCTCTGACCCATCAACCCTTCTCTTCTCCCGTAACCTGTTGTGATCTCGAGTCCTCGCTCTGTCCTACGGGACGTTCCGAGATCATAACGGCTGGGATGTAGGATAATAGTTCAACTGGCCAACGGCCGAAGTAACGATACATATTAGGAAGATGAAGATTTGATTGAATTATTAGTGAATGAAGTATTATTGAAAATTTTTAAGAATGGTTCAAGGAATTAAATTTGAATGATAAGTATAGTTTATTTAAAGTTGATGGAATGATTTGATCTATAATTTATATAAATTGGTTTAATTATTGAATATTTTAAGTAATTGCTATAATTAGTGAGCTTATTAATTTTAATAATATCACAGATATCTTGTTAGATATTTTTTTATTACTTATGCATACTTTAGCTCATTATGAACATAAATTTTTATAATCATTTGCATGATTTTTATTTTCTATCGAAAAACCACTGTAAATCACTTGTTTCATCAGCCATCTATGGAATGTCCACAAAAGCAAAATGTTTACAGATTTCTTATACTTCATTACTCGGAACAACAGAGATGCCAGAACTACATGTTCTGTCACTTCTGTTTGTCTCGTGTTTTTTAGACCGAATAATCGAAGTACCGCAGACCCCACAATTACATAGAAGAATTTATAACGTTAATGTCAATTACGTCATTTGTCATTTTATTTACGTTGAAAGTTGAAAACAATTTGTATTTGTAATTGTAATTTTTAAATTTAAATGCTTTATACTTTGTTGAATTTGAAAATTTTATTAAGAAAATGGCAGTAAATAATACTAATCCAACGGACAAATACAAACGAATACAGGTATATAATTATCATCTGTAACTTATTCTCGATATTTGAAATTTTCTAAATCTCGTAAATTCCGTTTTTAGGGCGCTAGCTTATCTGTAGGATCGAAAAAGTATCCAATTTTTAAGGGTATTAATACTATCGGACGAAATAAAGTTGCTATTGTAAATATAAAACACCTGGTAATATTATTAACACTGATTCGAATCCATACCAACAAAAACTATGTTTCAGAATGTGAGCCAAAATCAAGCCATAATTACCATAGTGGATGATAATCAACACTTCATAAGCGATTTGAATTCCTCAAATGGAACATATTTATGCAAATCAAAGCTGATACCATTTAGATTGTATGAAATAATCGATAATTCCGAAATACAATTTGGGGATGTATGTAGTCTATATAAAAAGGTAAACAACAATGTTATTAAATATATTTAAGTTTATTGATTATATTTAATAAATTTGTAGATTACGGGTAATTCTGTAATACATATTAATCATAGCGAGGAGAGAAACGAATTGACCCAAAATGTAACTCAAAACTTCTATGTTACTGATACACAACTAATTAACGAAGTTGTTGTAGACGATATTCACAATGAGCCAACTCAGGTAATATATTTCTATTATTTTATTTAATATTTTCAACAAAACGTATTTTTTAATAGGTAGTAATTACATCTAACAATTCAACAAGAAACGCAAGTGATACCACTTTCGATACGCAATTCCACGATGCACCGACCCAAATAATAGATTTAAATGTAAATAGAAATGAAGCAGTAAGTGCTAATACCCAGTTTCACGAACAACCTACACAAATAATAAATTCAAATGAATATAAAAACAACGATGATATTCAAGTTTGCGAACAACTCCCTCAAATTGCCGAAGAAAACGAGAATATATCGGATACAATCATTTCGCAGCAATCCACTCAGGAAATGCCAACCGAGGAAATTCAAAACAATGATAAACAAACCGAAAATGACGGTAATCCTGTTGGTGCAAACGAAAGTGTTAAAGTTTCTAATAGAAATGCCATCCACGATAGTCAAATTCCTTCTACTTCTGCTGCACAGCAACATCTTCCTGATGATTCGTTTAACACTCCGTCGAAACCCGGCTGTTACGATCGAACAATAGACGAAACTTATCAAGAAGAGCTCAGTAACGAGTCGATAGATTTACTGCAAAATGACGTTAGTATAGACAATCAATCCGAAGTGAACGGAGATTCGACGGATTGCAGTACAAGCTCCGATATTGTTAAGAAAAGAATTAAACCCGTGCCAAAATTACCTTGTACACAACTTACTGCTGATTCTGAAATGAGCTCTCAAGACGTTGGCTGTAGGAAAAAGCCCTGCAGGCCAATCGATTCCGACTCTGATACAGATATAGACGAGCCGGTTTGTAGTAAAAAAGAAGAACCATCTGATGAAAATCCAAAAGCGAATCTTGATGTAAATGATTTGGGCTCGGACACCGATTGTGATGATTTAGATTGTATTCCAGCCACGCAAGATGCATTCGCGAAAGCCTTGGATTATCAACCGATTAAATCCCAAAATTCAAATCATTCATCATCGGGGAGTTTTAAATTAGGCCTGACGGAGCTCATTTGCTCCCAAAACAGCGAAGAAGTAAAAGAAAGCCAAAACGCAAGCAAGGAAGGCAATAATTCTTGTCCTGAAAAGAGCCAAGAGAGCGACAATTCCAAAAAATTTACTTTTAAAAAGAAATCTCACGTTCTAAACGGATCCTTAAACACTGCTTTAGGTATAAACAAATCTGATTCACCGAATAAATCTAATTTACACGAAGAAAGTATAGTCGAACCTACTCAGGAAATGTTAGAAGATTTTAAAAACATTTGTGCAGAAAGTACGCAGATCATACCAAAAAATACTGATGATAAAAAATTACCCTCACAAGAACATAACATTAATGAAGATGACGATGATGATATCATAAACCCTACGCAAAAATCGGAGGAGAAAACTGAAGAAACTCAAATTGACGCGCTCTTCTTAGAGCCAACTCAAAGAGTCGATAACGATGATATTTTCATTGCACCCACGCAAATCATTGAGAATAATGCTCAAAATGTAGCTGATAATGATGAAAAAGAAACCCAAGAAATTAAATTCGAATTCCTTAAGCCTGCCTCGAAAGAAGATAGTCAATCGACACAGCCAGTTCGAGATGATGATATTTTCTTGGCACCTACCCAAGTTCTCCGCGAGGATAAAACTCAAAATTTCGGAAAATCTCAATCCACAAACGATGAGAACATTTACATTGCTCCTACTCAAGTTCTCGATCAAAACGAAACACAAAATGATGGTAAGAAATTGAGTTACATTTGTACAATTAAATAACATTTATTTTTCTAGACCTACCGATGACTCAAGACAATTTGTATATACAGCCTACTCAAAAAATTACTACTGAGGAAATAATTGTTGAAAGCAAGAATAATATAGAAGAAAAGGAAACTGAAGAACTACCTATTAGTAGCAAAGTTGAGGAGAAAACAGAAGCAAAAACGACTCGTTTAGAAACAAGAAGAAAGCTAGATAAAATTGAAGAAGCCAATGCAATTTCTTCGAGTGATTCTTCTAAAGCTCCTCAAGAAGATACGCAATTGGAAATGCCCTTTGGAAGCCAAATTGAAATAGTACTAACCGATGTATCCGGACGTCCTAGAAACCCTTTACTTTCTGAATTAAATAAAGAAAAACAAGAAGAACGATCGGAAACTCTCAGTCAAATTGAAGCATTCGTACAAATGCCACTACCAAAACCAAATTTGAAAAGAGCAACAAAAAAGGCGTCTGCAGTGGAAAGAAAAAGTAAAAAAACAGAGCTTAAGGAATCTTCAGCTACGACTAACACTATTCGAAGGAGCCGAAGAAATCAATCGACTAATAATGAAGCTGATGAAGAAACTGCAACAGCGGGCGAAGCGAAAAGGACTCGTCTGGAAATAAAAACCGAATCAATTTGCTCGAATGATTCTTCCAAGCCGGCTCAAGGAAGAAGAACTAAAAAACCATCGAGTAGCAGTAAAGTAGAAAAAGTTTTAGATACAAAAACCCGAAAGAATCTGAAGAGAAAAGGCGACAATGACCGTAATGACGAAGTTTGCAGTGAAAACATCAGTAATTCTAGCGAAAACGATTTCGAAACTCCACAATTTTCGCCTGCCAAGCGCTCTCGTTTAAGGAACAAGACTAAAAATGAAGATGGTGTTCGAGAACGCAGTACATCCAGCAGATCGGATGATTCCATCAGCAAAAACCCGTCTTTTACATCTGAGGTTTGCCAGCCCACGACTCCTAAGATACGAAATAATCTATTTTTCTTTTCCAACAGAGATCCAAGCGAAATATCAAACCTAAGGTGGTCTTTACAATGTTGGATAACCCCCAATTGGAATCGTACATCAAACATTTGGGTAAGAGCAAAATCAAATAGAAAATCTTGATGTAATTGTGCATTAGAATAACACTTGATTATTAGGGAGTTAAATGTAGATTTTAGTTTGTTTAATTGCTTTCAGGTGGCAGCATTGTCGACTCAGTTTCCGCCGCAACGGTGCTGGTTACCGGAAGTGTTAAAAGGTCTCAGAAATTGCTGAGCGCCATTGGACAGGGCAAGCCCATTTGCGGTCCGGATTGGATACATTCTTCGAAAGCGAATCGCAATTTCCTAGGTACTGGATTGTTTTATTTTGTATAAAAATTGGTTATATTTATATCCGGTTGCAGATCCTTGGGATTGTATATTGGTAGATAAAGAGGCGGAGGAGAAGTGGGATTTTTCTTTGAAGGAATCGTTGAGACGAGCCGTTAATAAACCGTTGTTATCTAATTATTCGTTTAAATTGATGGTTGCAACCGCTGCGGATGTTTTGAAAGGTCTGCTGTTTTGTTGTTATAGATATTTTAAATTAATACGTTTTTTGTAAAGGTGCTATCGAAGCGAGTGGTGGAAAAGTGGTGTCGAAAATTCCAGAACAATCTCTACTCGATAATTTTTACATAATCTCCACGTCAGACCAAAAAGCTAAGTACCAAAGGTTGCGAAAGAGCCATCCGGACATTAAAATTTTGGAACCGGAGGCTGTTTTTGACGGTGTGCTAAGGCAGGAATTTAGAGCATCGAAACATTTAATCAAGTAGTTATAAGGATCATTATAAGCATAACTTTATTTGTAATTTTGTATATTTGTAATTTATTCATAAGTTTTACATTATGTATCATAAATAAAATTATTTTTGATGTAATTAAGAACCCGTACATTTAATTATGTTTGTTGTACCATCAGGAACGATTTCGAAATGAACCTAAAATAAAAATAGACATTAAGTGTGAACAATTAGAAATAAAAATACAACTTACATTCTTAAGTAGTTTTTCAGCGACAAATATGGCGGTTTTTGTATGCAAAGAGACGTCTCCTACTCTTATTTGCGAAGGACCTTTAGCCAATGCCATGAAAATAATCAACTGATCCTGGCAATGCTGGTCCACACAAGCACCATCTTCTATAGATTTTAATAATTCCTGAGCCGCTTTTTTACCCGTTTCTTCGGCTGATTCGCCTTTTCTACCCAAAGCTGAACCTCCTAGGAAGCACTGCGAGTCTGTTTCAGCTACTAAACTAAAAAGAGTATACAGTTATACGATTCCTTTTGATTATAATCCAACTAACATGATTCCTGAGCAATTATCCGGAGCAACATTTCTGTCTTCTTTGTATCGTTCGATATCAACTTTACCGATTTTTCTGAGTACTTCCACGGCCCCTTCTGCCATCGCATGAGCCATTTTTATGGGCAAAACCCCCGCCGTAAAGGACCAGCCATAAAGCGACTTGATACTTCCCTGTTTCGTAATATCCACAGGTTTCAAATCACCTACGGGATTAACATTAATAACAACCTCACCGCCGCCTTTCGGGAAATAACCCCTCCTCAGCAAGTTGAAGTCGAAAGTAGCCCCGAATTTCTCCAGGTTGGGCCTAAAATAAAGCCTTGGGTCACGATATTTCCATGCCCTAAACTACGTGCCTGAATACTTCAACCATATAGTCTATCTGAGGCGCCATTTCAGCGTTGGTGCCCCCTTTTAGGTACAGCGTAGTGGGCCCTTGAGCGAAAAGGGTGCACGGTAAGGCTACCTGCATCAGCAGGCATATACTTCCAGCAGTTTTCACGGCGGCCCTGTAACTCCCGCCGGCTAAACCTTCGGGAGCGAATTCTATTTCTTTCGAACCCAAACTAACTCCTTTCGTTCCGGCAGAGCAAATGTCTCGAACCAACTCCACTCCTAGAGAAATGCATTGTTTGTTCGGTTCTAGCAGTGCTTTAATTCAAACCTTTTAAATGCTGCTCCATTAAACCCGGCTTGCTGCGACCTCCTCTTATATTACTTATACGAACAGGAATTTTCCTCAAAGCACTTAAGGTTATGGCGACTCGCAAAATTTGACCACCCTGAGAAGATAATGGAATTTTTGAATGCCGTTTTACGTTGATAAGTTCAATTTTATACCCCTTCTAGTAGAGAACCGTCTATTTCATCCATCTTAATTGTATTTTTGTAAGTTTAAGTTTAGTATTACTTTGTTATTGTTATTTATTATTTAGTCAAATAACTTTTGATTGACTTCTTTTTTTCTGAAAGCTTTGTCTCTTGCAGTTGCGGGCGTCCAGCCAACGTCTTTAGAATAGGGCGTTCCATTTTTTGTATAAAAAAGCAGAAGATAAAAGTTGAGACGAGAGAGAGGTTAAATATTTAACATGGCGGACCACGTCATGGAGTCCGATGATAATAAACAAGATATTCCAAACGTCGGAAATAAACAGTGGGTTAAATTAAATGTCGGCGGAACGTATTTTCTAACGACTAAAACCACCCTGGCGAGAGATCCCAACTCCTTTTTGTACAGACTGATCCAAGAAGATAGTGATTTAATATCAGACAAAGTAAGAGTACAAACTAGATAGCAATTTTTTTAATACTTTCTAATTGTACCGTTTATCAAACACAATGTTAATCTAATTTAACCCTTAACTGCTACAACTAAATATTTTGTACGTAACTGCTACGAGTGGATCTCTCAAACCCACATATTATTTTGTTAATAAAATGCATATTGTTTATAAAAAAAAAGGTTTAAGGAAATGAAAATGTTTATTATTTTAATACATTGTATAACTCAAAGGTAAATTATTTACAATTTGGGCAAATTTTAACTGTACGTTCCAAACAAATCGGTTGTTTGCATGTTGAGCAAACATAACTTGTTTTGGGTCTGTGGGACCCAACTTGTAGTAGTTAAGGGTTAAGTAACCAGCTATTTCAATTCAAGTTTCTTTAATAACACAACAAAAAGAGTCGATTCGAAAAAAAACAATCGAGTAGCAGTATGTCATTGTGCGATAATTTCACAGCCTTCTAGTTACCTTCGGTAAATCATAAATTAACGTCATTTCAGGATGAAACGGGGGCTTATCTAATAGACCGAGATCCGAACTATTTTTCACCCGTTCTGAATTACCTGAGGCATGGAAAGCTGGTGATCAACAAAGGGCTAGCCGAGGAGGGCGTGCTCGAAGAAGCCGAATTCTACAATATCGCCGAACTGATCACCCTAGTCAAAAGGAGGATACTACACAGGGAGGGTAAACCCAGCAAAGACGGCAAAAAGCACGTCTATAGGGTCCTGCAATGCCACGAAGACGAACTCACCCAGGTATACACAAAAAAACCACAGTTTACAGTGACGTCACTCAATCTAGCCAATCGCATTCGTCTAATCGCATTACCAGCCAATGAAAGGCCTCGCTGAGTGGCGACGTCACTGTAGAGTAATACTGACTAAACGAGTTTATTTGCAGATGGTGTCCACTATGTCCGATGGCTGGAAATTCGAACAGTTAATAAACATCGGCTCCCAGTACAATTACAACGCCGATGAGCACGCCGAGTTTTTGTGCGTGGTGAGCAGGGAATGCGGCATTCGAGATTGCCCTGAAATCAAGACCGAGAGGGAAGATAGGGCCAAGGTGCTCCAGCAGAAGGGCTCCAGGATGTAGTTCGTCGTGTAGATTTGCATGTGGTTGTTTCGAAGCGGGGTTTCGTGAAACTGTCGTTTCTATATTTTTAGTATGATGTTTCTGGATGTTTTGTTTCCATGGAAAACTCGATTTTGTTGCGACGATCGTTTCTGCAGGAATACTTATTATGATATTTGCGTTTGTTTTAGCTTGCCTTTTTTTTTCGGAAACTAACTACCTTTTATGATATTAGAAACTCGTTTGTCGAATATTTTTTCGTTGAAATGCGACAGTTTTACGATTCCTTTTGTATTTCGTTTTCGTTGTTTCGGTATATATTCGTGAAGAAACCCATTGTTTCCATTATTTCCATTCGATCTAACTTTAGTAGGTACTGTTTGTGTACATGTATTTTGATATTTTGAAGATATTTCCCGATAATATTGTACATTTTTTGCTTTTTATCATCCAAACAGTGTAAGACTGGCATCTGTAAAAACGTAATAAATTTTAAAATGAAAATCTTTATTTACTCTATTCACAGAAACTATTATGAGTGCTCAATTGTTCGGTCAAATGTATGAGTTAAATAAAGATTGTAAGAAATAACACTGGTTAGAGTGAGAAAGTTGCAATCCAACAATATTGCTCTTATTCCTTTATAAAGTTCGTACGTTTTAAAATGAGAATGACGTCATTTTTAGTAATTTTCGCGCAGTTCAAAATTCTAGTACCAATAGTACCAATGTTAATTCTTTCATTTGACTAGGGGAATTTTACCTTGCGCGGTTGAATTGCCGATGCGCTGTTGCCATATCGTTAGTCTCAAAGTTCCGCTATTTGTAGTCGACACGTTTTGACTACAATTCGTTGTTTTTGTGACTTTCCCAGCGATTTTTGTCTTTCTGGAGCGTTCTTGACAATTCTACATGATTCTAGACAGTTCTTAATGATTACCCATAGACCATATTGCGTAAAAATATGCACTTAACTGCATATTTATTTGTAAGGGAATGGAAGAAAAATGAAAATATTACTACTAATTTACTATTTAATTAATAATTACGATTGGCGTTGTTGCCATAGTTCCTGCCGAGCAGGAATCCGCAGAAAAACGCGCAGCAAGTGAACACGCAAGTCAAAATGATTGACCAGAAGCCTGGCCTGTTACCCTGCGATTTCGCTGGTTTTATCAGACTCAAGAAATTTCTATGCCTATTTTCTTCTACCATTAATTCCACAGGAGACCCCAAAACGAGAAACTCTCGACGAATTCCTTCATAATTCTGCTTCCCATCTCGGCCTGCTTCCTCCAACTCTATGCATAAAAAACCTCGGAGATTTTTCACACCGCTTAACATTCTAAATCCTAAAAATAATCAATTTGAAAATACCACAACGTAATGTGCTATGCATACAACAAACGCGATATTTTTGAATAGAATTTTATTGACAAAATTACTTGTACAAAATTATTAACATTAAAATAAATTATTAAATAAAATGGCTTTTAACAAGACTTGGAGTGATGAGGGCGGGTTTTGCTAAGGGTATACCCGTATATAAATGCTGCAACACTAATAAGACCGACGAATACGAGGGACCATTTGTGGCCATCTGAGCCTAGAGCAGCGGATTTAGCAGGATTATAATAAAGTCTATTGTCCTTGCGTATGGAAATTAGCGGAGTGAACTCTTCTGTTTTAAACAATGACTGGAAGTTTACTCGTGCCGAGAAGCATCCAGACTGTTTTTCTTCTTTCCTGGCCGATTTTGCAGGATGCATAAATTCGTCATACTCGTTCAAGCTTAACCATTTTTCAATTCCATTGTAGCGCAATGTCTTCGGGTATAAAGCCCAGTAACTCTGTGATGCGAAGATTTCCGATAAATTAGCCACGGGCGAGCCTAGAAATAATAATAAACAAATTAATATTAATACATTTCAAGCGTGCAATTTACCAAAATTTTGCTGTATAAACCTGTATGTATGGGCGTGTTCCGATTGTTCCTGCTGATATTAGTGTAAGTTTTGCAGCTGAAAATGTAACGCAATATTGATAAACAAAAATTTGGATATTCCAGAAAAAATAAAACCATAGAAAAACATTTCAGGATTTTTAATAATTGATGTTTCACCTAATATAATACTAAAAAATACTTATTATTTCCACAGGATTTGGTGATTATACGAGCTTTAATACAATAAAAATACTTGAAATGGAATAAATAAGTCTCATATTCCACTGGAAACTTCTAAGACTAGCAAGTAATTACGTACAAATAGGTACGGTTAAAGTTATCACACATTACTGAACTAAAATTACTCTATAATAAATATATTCTAAAATGGACTATTATTTCGATTAAGCTCACATTTTCCAGACATTACAAACTACAACATGCTTTAATTTAATCGCATGATTAATTTAAAACATAATTCGTGTGATTGTAATAATCTTGATTTGTGATGATTTCTGTAAAAGCGAACCATTGGTATACTCTATAAATCTAAATATTTTTAATTGATAATAATTAAATTAGCGCTTAGAATCTATTTTTACGGATCAATACAAAATAAACACCTACACAAAACGCTCTGTAGAGATTCCAAAACAGGCATTAAAATGCAAAAATAGGTACAAAGAATAATAATTCATTTAATTACTAACAAATCCCACTATGCGCCATATCAAATACAGCAACAGCGCCTTAACTAACCCGACTTGAAAAAGAAAAATAAATACAATGCCTAATAATAATCAATTGTATCAAATACTTTTATATTCATAGGTAACTCAAATCAGTCAATCCGCACGGCAAACCACGCAAATCCAATCGTTCACGCGCCTCCTAATGAAACCTAGTGTACCAATAACTCACGAACATCGTCAAACCGACGAACCCGGTCACGATGGCGGCTATCCAGGAGGAAGCGTACTTCACATGCGCAGAAGACGCCGCCCCGGGCGTCTCCGTGACCGGTTCCGTGTTGGTCGCTTCGCTGGACGCCCCCGAAGGCTTACTCGAAGGCTCCGCAGAAGGTTCTGTTTGGGGCTCCCTCGCGCTGGTCACCGGCCTGGAGTGCTGTATCGGTCGCGAGGTGATCATCGAGATGGGGCTGCCGGGTTCGGGTTCCGGCGTGGGTTCGGGCTCGGGTTCGGGCTCGGGGGTGGGTTCGGGTTCCGCTTCCGAGGAGGATTCAGTCGAGTTGTCCGTGTGTTGGGTCACCTCGCTGGAGCTGTTCATGGTTTGGTCGGTGGATTGGGAGGTTTCGTCGGTGGTGCTGGAGGTTTGGGGTTTTTCTGGTATGGGATGCGGCACCAAATAGGGATCGTTGTCGGAACCCGGCAGCACCTCGGGTTCCGGCGGCCGGCTGGACGCCGGCGGTGGAGTGGTCACGTTCAAGTCGATGCCGTATTCGTAGTTGTCGTTGAACAGGTAACCTTTAGCGTCGATGAAGGAGGTTATCAGCCGGAAATTCTCCTCTTCGACGTTAATGCGATCGTAGATGAACTTGTTCATTCGGTTGACCAGCACGGTTAGGTTGCCTTTGCTGTCGACGCAAAAGGAATTCGGCCACTCCAGGTATTTGGGATCCTTGGAGATTATCCGTTGTTTGCTCTCGAAGGGAGTGTGCGAGTCCCATTTGGCTATGCTGTAGGTTCCTAGTAAAGTGTAATACAGGACTCCCTTATTGTCCATTATCATGCCTGAAAATAGCCAAAAATAAAATAAGGTAGATTTAGGTATAACATACAGAGTTTCCAGGAATTTTGGATATAAAATGTAGAAAGTGAAACAACCAGAAATGCTTTGTTAAAGTGCTGTTTCAAGTGGAACTGCTAGTGTTAACACTACTTGGTTAATTTATTTACTGGAAAGTTTTTTGTGAGTGTGATGAAAATTTCAATCAATCAAATTCGTAAATGTGAAATTCTCGGAACTGATAAAAGCACCTCCCGTACACCTACCTGCGAAATTGTTATCGTTTGAATTCACAACACACACAAGAGCGAATATTTTCGTCGTTAACGAGCGTTTTTGCAAAGCTAAATGGTTTCGTGTTAATGGCGTTAATGAAAATTACGTGCATTTGGCTGGCAAATGAGCATTGCATGCGGTCCAGATAGCCGAATGGGAGATATTCTAGCGTAGAATGGCATATTTCAAAAGTAGGAAACACCGGCAATTTCGTTGTAAAAATGCGAGAATAACCACATGCTATTTTTTAAAGGTAGGGAGAAATATGATTGGATATCCACTGGTTACCTCTTTTTTATGTACTTTCCCTTTAATTATTTTATACCGAATTATCTACTGTTTTCAAATTTCGACACTGTAATTTCAATTTGATTAACATCCACTTTGCATTATTATAATTAATCGATTAATTATGCAGGAAAACATGTTTTTACAGAGCGCCGGAATTTGAGCGCCCCAATTTCTTCATCAAAATAAGTTTACTGTTAAAATATAGTAAATTTTCCGAAGCGAATAATACCCGTATAAAATAATAAAAAAAAAACTATAAGCACAACCTTCACCAATTGCAAACACGATTAGTTACGCATTCAAAATAGGTGTCCGAATTTGTTAGATATGTTTCTAGATTTCTACATGTAGGTAGGTATTCTGAAATTAAACATTAATAAATTCGAATTCCCTAAAATTGGCCTCACCTGCGGATTGGGACGCTTTCCTGCCGTAATCCTTGACATCCCCCTTGTATTCCGCGTTATCCAGCCCCCGCTGTTCGTTCCTCAAAGCCGACGTGTTAATGGAGAACAAATTCATGCTGGATATAGGGCTGTAGTACAACTCCCTGTCCTCGTCGATGACGATTCTTTCGGCGCTGGTGTGGATTTTGGGCCCCAGAGCGACCCCGGCTACGTTCAGGGGTGAGTTTATCACGACTCCATTGACGCGGAATGTGACAGCAGAAGGATCTGCTCGCATGCTTTGAGGGTGCCTGATTTTCCAGGACGTGTGGCTTTTGACCGAGAAAACGACGATGCCTGTAATGGTGAATTGAAGGGAAATTAGAATAATTAATGCGGCGTTTAAATTCAATAAAGTTAGGTATTTTTGATTTTCGATTTCTTCCTAGTTGGCGCGTTTCATAAGAGCTGCGGGTGAAAGTTTAAGATTGTGTATAATTAAAAATAAATCGATGAAATTGAGTATTCATCCGATCAATGTAATCTTTTCTAAAATATTACTCAATCGGTAATTATTTCATTGTATATTTATGCTAATTTAAACTTCAAATAGGATCATAGTTTGGTCAAGAGGAGGCGATATATTTAATATTTTTGTTTGCCGAAAACTGACATCATCGATTCTTTTATTGTCAAATAACTTGAGTAAATATTATTAATATACTTCTTATTAATGATAAAATGGAAAACCCAAGTGCAAAGGTATTGTTTGTATGCGAATTGCGACAGTAACGTTAAATGCTAGTTATTACATATGCAAAATAATTTTTTTTAACATACTTGAAATTTGAATCACATGATGACGAAAGTATACATTTAAAATAAAAAGTTATCTGCTTGGTGGTTTTCTTAGGCACTATAAATAGAATTTTTGAAATAAAAGGAGGATATGAGAATATTTAAATTTTTATACTTGTTTAGTAAGTTATTGAAATATTATATAGAAATATCTATTGTCAATTATCTATCTACAATCTATTATCTAATAGCTATTGTCAATTAATCGAAATATCCAGATAATACTATTATAATTGAAGATTATTACAAAATGACTTACTATGGCATAAAGTTAAATTATGGTCTTGGAATGTTAAAAACAATTTCTTTCCATAAAAATATTATTCCAATTTTTTCATACCTACATTTACTCTTATTACTTAGTAACATTATATTAAAGCGTTATAATTACTTCCATTAACTAACATTGATAACATTTTACCGTGTGTTTAAGTAAAATGTCCTTAACTTTTCCTCAAACAAAGGCAATATTTTAAACCCATTTTAATGTTAAAACCGTACGTTGAAAGCGAACCATTTAAGTTTAATGCTTTCGTTTAAAAATTATTAAATATTTTAAAACTATTATTATTATTAATGTATTAGGTAGGAAATGCAATAATTTAGGTGAGTAATTTGAATGAAGTTTTTTTCAACTAATAAACTTTAAGGGAACTTGAATGTCTGATTCTACAAAAAGGTAAAAAGCAGTTGTTTTAGTGATAAATTAAATTAGTAAACAAATATAGAAAAAAATTGAGTCGACTTTACGTAACAGGTTTAATTTGTCCTTGATTATAATGCTGTAATATTTATAATAGTTCGATGTTCAATTTGAAAATTATATACGTAAAGATGGAATTAAAAATTACGTTAAAAAACAATAAAAACTTATACATTATCGAAAGAATTTTCCCATATTTGCTCTCATTTTCCAGTGTTCAAAAAAATAATATATTACATATTCACAAATGAATTCATTTCAAATAATTTTAACAGTATATTAGCATTCGACATTGAAAGTATTATTTACCGTATAGGAACGATACGTATTAATTAGATGATATATTTTTACGAAAATAGACCCTGAAAACCCAATTTGCACAATTCACACATTTTCCAACATTAATTATTTATAAATGTTTGCGATAGCAATTACCTATGTTTATTCCCGGATAATATGTACTCAATATGTAATCAACTAGAATAAGGCGAAAATAAGGACGAGCCAAAAAGATAGTCAAAAGCGCGATAATTTCGAAAAAAAAAATCGTCGAATTTCAATGATTATTCACGCTTATTGAATTACGTGTTTCATTGTACAAGGAAAAGTTATGCTCCGCTGCTCGCTCACTTGTGATTTTTATAATTACAATTTCCCTACAATCCACTTGTTTACAATAATAAGTTTCACGTAACTTTCAATCTTACCATTAAATAAAGATAATCTAAACTTGTAGGGACTTACCAGGATCCTTTGCACTGTTATCAGTAATATAAGCATACCCCCCATCGGTGTCGTCGATCACTAAATCATACAAGAAATTATTCTCCCTGCTGACCACATTTTCCGGAAAAGTGTACATGGTAACCGTGGCGTTGTTTTTAACATCGTATATAACCAACTTCGGCGGGCACCTGGACACAGGGTGATTCAGAGTCTCGGTGCGCCCGCTGTCAATAATCCAAGCCTGCCCTTTGGGATCGATCTCCAGGTTCTGCACGTTCTGGAACCCCTCGCAATCGCCCGCCCTGTTCATCTCCCACGAAGGGAACGGCTCCAGCGGCGGATGCGCGTCCCGCTTGCCCGGCCGCCCCCCCGGGATCCTCGCCAGGGTGGCCGGCACTCCGGACTTCATCCGGGGCACCGTGAGGTAGTAGTAGCCGTCGAAGTAGTCGATGCCGGCTATGATGTTGTTCTCGGGCACGTAGCTGCCGTCGGCGAGGGCGGCTTCGCGCAGCTCTGGGCTGGGCCAGGTGAAGTTCAGGTACTTCCATTCCCTGATCACTTTGAACTTCTCGGCGGCGGCCGAGGCGATGGCGATCGCCAGCAGCAGGAAGAGTCGAAGGTGCATTTGGACTGGGTGCGCGCTGGTTCTGGTTAATTCTGCGACTGAGCGACTGCGTTTGGCGCTGGTTGTTTTATAACTGGCGGCGGGTACTGAATAAAAGTGGTAGTGAAAAGCCGGCGTTTATTTAATGCGTAAAATATGCGATGGAGCATCTCGATGATATAGATTGGTAAAAATTTGTTGTATTTTTTTTGTTTTACTGTGAAATTATATTCGTAATTTAATTGGGATTAATTGGGTTGAAATAAACAAAAAGGTGATATCCGCGTTGAGTGTTGGTGTGTATGATGTGTGAGTAACGAATTTTTGGCAAATCGATTTTGTATAGGTTGGTACTACCTGAGTAATTCGAAAATTTCTCAAATTCTTCTTCGAAATAATTGCCATACCTGTTTTTCGATAGCGACAATTTAATTCGAAACATCTGCTTTTTCAGAAAAATAATTGCTGCTCGATTTTTGCGTAAATTGCGCAGTTTTTTTCTATACAATTTTCTGATTTTTACAGTAATTATATTAACTTTCCTTGCCCAATCATGACATTACCGCAAAGCTATGCCCAACTCATTCCTTCCATTATCCATTATCATGAACACAACGTGGAAATTCCCTCGTTTGAAATTATTGCAGTGAAAAATTTCAGCTCATGTGACAGAAATTCGGTATTTGTTATTAAATTTTATAATACCTAACTCGCATTCCAATCGAAAGGAATTCTGTTGATAATAAAACGCACCGTTTTACATTATATTTTTACTTTGTTTAAGGACCATGAATAATACCTTCATCTTTTGTTAAGGGAACAGTTTGCAAACAAAGCATTAACTTATTCATTACTACATAATGTTTATCCTGATCATTGCAATTAACCCAACCTCTCTTCTTGCGATAAACATGCATGCATCTAATTGAAATCATGGTCATCAGTTCGATGTACATGAAACAAACATCAAATACACGCGAATTTATTCATTTTATTACAAACCATTCAAACCATTTAACAACTTACTCGATTACAATTCTCGTTTACCTTCCACGCAGATTCAGTTAAATTACAAATGAACTATGAACTTCGCCTTTGCATCTTCTAATCGTCGTCGTGTTCAGCCGTATCCGGCGGTAACGAGAGCGTCGTGGGTTCTCTAAGCACCGCCAACAGTTTGTCCAATTTCATCAACTGCAAGGTGTTCTGGTCCAAGTCCTGCTGCTTCTTCGGAGCCCTGCACGGTATCCTCAGGTTCGGCGATAGCTTCACTATCGAGGAACAACCCCTGAAAATATTAGTATGCATTCAAGTTGTACTCTCATTGCTGGTACAAATTTGAGGATATAATACTAACTTATCATCTCCGATAACTAATATGGGTAAATTGTAGTTAAACGCTAGTTTGGTGGTTTTGTTCTTCTTTTTGGAGACAATGGCTTGCACGCAAATGGGCTTGTATTTGTTGACGTTCAAATCGTACACGTGAATTTTCCCTTCGGTGGTTACGCAGGCGAAGACTGTGGAGGAATATGGAGCCCATTTTACATCCCCTATTCGCTCGCCTATATCGAACACAAACAGCGGTTCCCTGCAAAATTAGATTAACGTACAGGTGTAAAGATGATGTGATGATTACATTCTGTTGTCCTCCCATATTTTGATCCGCCAATCCATGCTGCAAGATATGAATATGTCCGTGTTGAATTTGTTGAAGTCTATTTGACAGACGGGCATTTGGTGGGCCTCGTATTTTAGAAGATAAGCCGAGCTGTAGGCCACGCTGCATTTGTAGATGTAGCCTTCTTCGGTGCCTATCATGTATATTTGTGGTTTCACCGGGTGGAATTTGAAGCAGCAGATGCTTGCTGGAAACGGAAGGGAGGAAATCAACGGTGATTTGTTGGAATGAAGTTAGAAAGTACCTTTTAATTTTAAAGTGGTACCGTCCGGTCCGTGCACCGGCGGTTGGTCCAAAAGCAGTTCAATTATGGTTATGACAGTCAGCGCGCTGGACATTAAAATCCAATTGTTCACTTTGCCATCGCTGCCCACAGAGTAGAAATTCAATTCGCCATCAGGCGTATCTTCAGCCCATTTTACCTAAAACCGTATATTGTCTACCAATTCGAATTCATAATTTCTCATTTTTTTAAACAACTGTTCCTATTCTACTACGCAATCGAGGTTGGAAAAGTACTAGTACCTCCCAAACGATACCTCTGTGTTTGTTCTCGACGCTGTTGCTTTTGTACACCGGCTCCTTGCAGGAATAGTTCACGTTGTAGACTCTTACGCTGCCGTCGAACAGTCCAATAGCCACCATGTAGGGGTAATTCTTGTGGGTATCCACGCACATCACCGCCGAATCCGTCATGCAAACGTAATCAGGAAACGAAGGATTCTTTAACGTGAACAAGCACAATGCCCCTCCTGCTACAGGTTTCGAGTAATCCACTAAAAAATAAACTAGTAACGAGCTGGTAATTCGGCTACCAAGTTGCTCACAGAATCCAAAGCACACTGCGAACAAGTCGTAATAATAGGGATTCCATTCCAAATCGCAGACCGTGTGCTTCTTGGTTTTGTTGTACTCGAACTTCCACAGCGGCAAAACTGTACCTTCTTCGGCTTTGAAATCGTCCGCTGGGTCGTCCCAATACCTGTAATCTGGAGCAATATTATTGATACAACATTACGCAAATGCCCCCAAAATTACCTTTGGCTATATCGAAGTAGGTGTTTTGGTTGATCATGCGCTCCAAAACACGAGCTGCTTTGAACAGCTTCGCTTGAAATTCGTCGTTTATTTGCTGGGGTGTTTTTTTGATTATATGTTTGGGCGGCATGCCCATTTTCTCCCGCCTTTCGCGTTCTTTTTCTTCCTCATGTCGTTCGTAGTCCTTCATGTAGATGTCGTAGATGAGCGATGGGGTGACCAGGGCGGAGAAAGTGGCCATCGGTGGCGGTATAGTTTGCGTTTCTTGGGGCTAATTATTATTTACTATGCGGTAATGATTACATCTTAGATATTGATTGCTCACCCTTGAAGGATTGCTGTAAGTTAAGGCCGCTCGTTCGCAAAAATTGAATAGATTGGTAAGTTTCTTTGGTCGACCACCCGGTTTGGGTTTTTGGGGTTTCGTAGGGGCCTCCTCGCCCTCACCCTCCTCATCCTCTTCTTTCTCGCCTTCCTTTTTCTTCCCTTCTCCTTGTCCTTCTTCCTCTATCTCGCCCTCTTCTCCCGCTTCTTCTCCCTCTCCTTCCATCATCAATTCGTCCTCCAGCGCTGCTTCTTCTTCCTCTTCCACGGATTCTAAATCGAGTTCAGCCGCTGGAATTGAACAATGTTGAACAAATCAGAATATTCCCGTTCGTTTATCAATTATATTTACGATCTAATCCCATTTCTATCATTTGCTGTCTAGCTTCTTCCGAATCCTTGCGAAGGAGGCTGCCCTTCTGTGTGAACACCTCCACCATATTGCCCGCCATCGGGCCGGGGATGAAGGTAAGATCGGCATAACTCCACACTACGATGCTGTCGGGTATTTGAGTGTTGTTGGAATTCAGGCTCAGGACGAATATTTCCCTCAGTTGCTAATAATAAATAGCACTTGATTAAATTGTTAGTGGTAAATGATGGGCGACTTACTTCTGCGTTTAACTCCACCTGGTCTTTGGGCTTCATGAGACCCCTGGTTCTCGTGTATTGCTCCGCGTCAGCGTCATTTCCTTCTTTTTTCTGGAATACAAGAATGTAAGATCGTGCTATTGTCGAATGTGAAATGAATAATTGTTACTTTGGCTTGCACTCCGGATTGGGCTTTTTTCGGCGCGGTGTTGGGCATTTTTCAGCGTTATTTATTTGTAAAAAAAGCTTTTCTTTTGTGAAAATTTACGTGCGTTTCAATGACATGTGTGAAAATGTTGTCTAGCAACAAACGTATCGATAAAACTCGAAGTTGATGGACGTACTCCTGCAATTAGTTTGATTTAAAATTTTCAACAGTCCTTCTTTACATCACCAAATGCGATGATTAAATTGAAACATTTGTAACTTCTATGTTATTAATTTTTTATTAATTCCATCGTAAGCATTTTATGTATAAATTTCGTTGGTATTTCACCGTAATACTCGATAATAATTTACCGTAGGAAATTCATTAAATTTGATAACCATACCTATTCAAGAAAAATGTAGAAGGTTATTTTTAACGCAAATATTTAAAGTATACACATACATAGTACCTATTTCAAATAGATAATAATTGTATGACACAACCGCTTGAGTATTATTATAATACATTTTTATATTTCTATTTTTTAATACTCTCATCAGTTTTTCGGAAAATAAATATTCCTTTCCTACGCATCCATTATGCCTGAAACTCGCGAAACAACATCGGAGTAACGAACCGCTTTCCAACAGGTCTCTACTTTTCCAGCCTACGTTTATTGATTTTCTTTCCCACGTATCTGGGAAGGAAAATCCCATCCCGTTATATCCAGGCAGTTCGAGCCCTGGGCCAGCGGCGCTAACAAATGCTCAGGGAATCCGCTCGGTGCAATCGAAATTATGAATCCAGTGAAATGAGTGAGATATTTGATCGGATTGCCCGAAGATCGCAGGTTTTTCCCGGCTCATGTTCGATGTAATGGAAGATAGCGGAATCGACAGCGGAGACCATCATGCCGATTCCAGAAGGCCGAACGTACGTGAATTCTAATCGTTATTATTATATTTTCGGTCTGTTGCTTCTTATTTTTTATCTAGCAGGAAGGTTAGTTTGAATGGAAAGATCAAAATAGAATGATTAGGTGTATTATTTGTTATCAATATGTTTACTTTTAATATCTATATGTTTATTAATTGCGTATTTAATTAATCGTGAAGCATTTTTTATCTGCAATGATAATAATAATTAAATTCTCTAATTTTATAAGGAAAGTTTGCTAACATCGCCCGCACGAGTAAATAGAGTTGCCTATTAACAACGTTCACACCACAGAACATACATAAACTACATAAATATTACTGGTTCACACCAGTAATGCCAGATATCTGTAGATAATATTTCAGAAGGTTCTTGAGTAAAATTATCTTCATAAAAACGAATGGAAAATTACCACGATCTATTTTCGTCCAAGTTAACGAGATTTCCAGTCACAAACGTGACATTTAAGCCTCTTAAAGGTTACAACAGCGAACGAATGAAATGGCAAAGGACGAAAATTCCTTTTAATAACACAATAAAAAAATCACTGATTATTCCAGGGAAGCGACAGCTCGAGCGCGAGCAGCAGCAAATCCTTGCCCAGGCCTTCTTCGTCTTCTTCGCGCCAGCTCCACAGGAAACTGGAAACCAGGATAGAGCACGCCAAAAGGCTGCACCAAGACTACGCTTCCAGCAATCCCGGTATTATCCCGATACAAAGGCTTCCTATACCTGGTGCCAAAGACCAGCAGCAACCGCTCGTTCAATGGGACACCGACGATAGGTAGGGTATTTAGTTCTAGCATTTTAAGGGGTCCACAACTATGTCGAATTTAATAATTATGTTGTTTTGCAGTGAAGAAGATGTTGCGAATTTCTTCCCGCACGCGAGGAAAGAATCGAAGGTACACCAAGAACTGACTGATAACTTTAGTATAGAAGAAATGAGCATATCAGGAGACGAAGATGAAGAAGAAGACTTACATTTAGTGCCGCCTACTTCCGTACGCAAGACTTTCAAGTGCTGTCAGTTTACTGTTTGTAATATTTTGTAATTTGTAATTTAACTAGGATAAATTGATGAATTTAGAAGGCGTTATAAAAGGTGTTGAATAACAGAAAATGTGTCTTCGTTGTTAAACTCATAAATATTAGAAGCGAAAATGATTAAATATTTTTTGAAAGAAATTTAGTGCAGTTAAGTCGATGTTTATAGTACAATTTGGCATATTTTAATACACATTAGTATTAAAATTTAAATTCATTGTATATGTATATTTAATGCTATCATTAGTACCTACTTAACATATTTATATATAATTTTTCTATAAATAATTAATATAGGTATTTAAACGAAAATTTATCATCAATGATTAAATAAAATTAAAAAGTTCAAAATAAGAAATCTATTGAAAATTTTGATTTGAAGGTTTATATCATTATAGAGGAAAAGAAAATATTAACATTCTTATAAGAAATTTCAAGATTAATGGAAATAATATTTTGGGAAAAGGGGATACCGCCACTTTTAGTGATATTTGCTCCTGAAGGTGGCGGTATCCTCTTGTTCTAAATTATTAAAACCAACGAAAATTAGAAAAGTTCTCAAGTAAGTACATTGTATATTATATTTTTAGACATTTCTTTAGGTAATAAAATATTTAGGGATAAGGGGATACCGCCACTTTTAGTGATATTTGTTTCTGAAGGTGGCGGTATCCTCTTGTTCTAAGATATTTCATTCAACATAACAATAGAAAAAAAGAAAAGAATAAATTACTAACGCTATTTCAGAATAGAATTTGTGTGATAATACGCAAACATTAATCTCCTGATAAGTTAGTTTAAATTATATTTTTATAAATAATTTTAAATTGTGCAAGAATTTGAAATAGTTGTTGCAATTTCATTATGAATCTACGAAATAACAACCAGATTTGTCCGAGTTAGGTATATGAAAACCAGAATATGAATGTTCAGGCAAGTAAATATAGCCGAAACTGGAAAAACAATCTATTCCATCCATATATGCATGAACCATAAAGCGAAGTATATTTCCATGTAAATACGAGGCATGGACTTCTATTTTGTCCGTTATTTTATTGGGAAAAGAGCCAGAGCTTGGTTCAATTAAATTTTTATTACACGAGTTCTTTTACTGAGCCGTAAAAGTACTTTTATTTTACATATTAAAAAAAAAGCAACGTTCCTGCTAATTATAGAAATTTTATTACACCAGGTGTAGTGTACAATTTTCACGAATAAATTTTGTGCTAAAAATTTTGATGAAACTCGTTTCACCGTGTCGTGTTCAATTTGTTTCAATAATTCGTACCGAACAAGCCGGCATAAAATAACAAACAGCGTCACAGAGGAGGGAACTAATTAAACAATGAAACAAAAATGAAAACAACGAGCCATTAAAACGAAAAATTAAATCGAGTTCGGAACCTACAAAATCCAAAGGAAAATATGATCCTAATAAACCAGAAGATAAGCGAAATTAATTTTACTCATTATCTTATTTACTGATTGGTTATATAACGTACTTTTCAACAAAGTGCTTTTAAATGTTCTTTTTTCTTATCGATATATAGTACGTGATATCAATATGCATTATTAGTTAAGAATTAATAATTTATAAAATTGTGAGCAGTGTTTTTCCTACTACGACACAGAAACGACTGCTAGTTCACTACAGAACAGAAATATCTAATTATTTAATCAGAGTCAATGTCACACTATTGCGTATTCTATCAGCGTACTAGTCAAGCGAGTGTTTTCAAAATTCATCTTCGATTGTGATGGAAAAAAACTAACAACTGCATTAAAGCGATAGCGTAAATCATTATGTACAGTTCGAAAACAATGAGTAAAATTCTACTAATTTGTTTTACTCTCTTTGTGAGCTATGGTGAAGGTGCAAAGATATTGGGAGTATTCATGTACCCGTCTATTTCTCATCAGGTAAATATAAAACCGGTTTATTTCGTTGAAATTCCTGATTGCTTGATTTTTCATTAACGTTTTTAGTTAGTTTTCCAACCGATATGGAAGGAATTGTCCTTAAGGGGCCACCAAGTTACAATAATTACTCCCAATCCACTGAAAGATCCCTCTTTAACGAACCTCACGGAAATAGACGTTTCTTTCACTTACAACAAGCCAGCAGTGAAGAACCCTATGCGATACGTTAAGAAGGAACAAAGGTCATTGACAAAGGTTAGAGCGATATTCGATGTATTCATGGAGTTATTCGAAGAAGAAATGCAGAGTGCCGGCGTACAAGAGCTCCTCAACAAAAAAGATGAGAAATTCGATTTGTTTATTGTTCAAATTTCCCATTATGGCAACGTATTTTTACCGTTCGCGAATAAATATAACACTCCTGTCGTTGGTATGGCAATTCTTTTCTAAAGAATAAACAAATATTTACAGATTTTTTTTAGGAATATCATCGCTAGGAGCGTTCCTGCACACCCATGATGTTTTAGGTAATCCAACTCATCCAGTTATTTCTCCAGATATATTACTAGGCTTGTCAGAAAATATGTCTTTTCTCGAAAGGTAGGCTCCAATATTTAAGTACGCACATAATTTTAAATTTTTTGTTGTTTGCAGGCTGAATACTTTCTTATATAACATTTCATACCGAATATACTATTACTGGGTCCTTTTGCCAGAAGCCGATAAATTTTCAAGGAAATATTTCGGCGACGACATACCATATTTAGGGGAATTGGACAAAAACCTAAGCCTAGTCATGTTGAGTGCTAATCCTCTCATTCATCCACCCAGGCCCAATGTTCCTAATATAATAAACATCAACCAGCTGAACGTCAAAGAGAAGAAACCTTTACCAAAGGTAATTAAAATTAGAGTTTTTGTTACCGATTTCACGGAAAAATTATTTCAGGATATCCAGGAATTCTTGGATTCCTCACCTGAAGGTGTTATATATTTCAGTTTGGGAAGTAACGTGAGAAGCTCCAGTTTATCACAAGAGTTAAGAAAAGAAATTATTGGCGCTTTGGCTGAATTACCATACAAAGTCATATGGAAATGGGAAGAAGATCACCTACCCAACCAGCCCAAGAACGTGATGGTTAGAAAATGGCTACCCCAGCAAGATATATTAGGTTAGCTAATATATAAAAGTTGTAAATAAGTTATAATAAACAATTCCGCGTTACAGGTCATCCGAACGTTAAAGTATTCTTCATGCAAGGTGGTCTCCAATCGATAGAAGAAACCATCAACAACGAAGTGCCTTTAGTAGGTATGCCGTTTTTCACGGATCAACCAGCCAATTTGAGGAAAATCGAGGAACTGGGAATGGGTCTGATGATAGACCACGTATCTCTCACCAAAGACAAATTAAAGGCCGCTTTGCTGGAAGTAGCCCAAAATAAAAAGTAAGTTAATCCGTAAGCATGTTGAACTTTTCTCGATATTTGTTTCGTAGGTACAAAGAAAACGTGATAAAAGGCAAGGCCATTATAAATGATCAGCCTATGAAGGGAGTAGAAAAAGCCGTTTGGTGGATAGAGTACGTGTTGAGACACAATGGAGCTAAGCATTTACGATCAGCTGCCGCTGATATGTCCTTCTACAATTACTTTATGGTCGATGTAGTTTTATTTTTACTAGCTTGCGTTATTTTAACTGTATATATTGTAATGAAAATAGCGAAGACATTTATGAAGAAACCGCGTAAATTAAAGAAGAATTGAGCGTTAATAAAGTACATTTAATTCGATTTTTTTGTTACGTTTTTATTAAAGAATCGAAAAAGGGAAAAAATAAATAACCGCCCCCGCGTTGGGGGGCCCGTCCACATCCACCATATGACCGCCAGCCGGTGCGATGTTCGAGTGTGGGCCGTCGGCAAGGAGCATGCGCAGGCGCCCCCGCCGGCCCGACGGCTCTTATCTTGTGCCAGTGAACGGCGATACGGGGTCGCAGCAACAACCCCCGCGTTATGATAACCACGGGAGTGCTATCACAGCAGTGAATGCGGGGAGATGCTAGTCAGTTCTGACCTATGTCTATCAGGAGTTTACATCGACGGGTGTCTGGACCCGGGGGATATGTGCAGCACTTCCACAGCCAGTAAGTGTTAGAGAACACGTTCGGGACGGAAGAGCGGCCTTGGTCCAGATCTCGTCCGGCCTTGCATCCCCTAACGTGGTTATGTAACAATTTTTAGCTTGTTTTTCGCCTTTTTAACCGACGGTTATCGGTTTATTCGATACGTATTTTTTATCAGATGGTAACCCGATAAGGTTACCTTTTAGAAAACTATATTTTTATTTAAGAATTTTATGTAATACCGGATTATTTTTCACTTATTTTTTTTCTCAAAAATAAATATAGAATCTTCTGCGAATTATAATACGAACAAATAATACCCTAAAATATCTAGATAAATTAAGCAATAAAACATAATTTATTAAAAATTTTAATTACAGTACTTTCCAGCTATCTAAAGTACTAAAAAATTAAGGAAAAAATATCTATCTTATCTTCCTAGAAAAGTACTTGTGAGATCAATTAAAAATACATTATTATACATTTTTTATATCGAATATTAGGTACTTTTTAAATTGATAATATTCCATACGAAGTTACTGGGATTAGTACTTACTAGCAGGCTAGTAATTAATGTATATTGATGAGCAGACAAAAGAATATAAATACATTTTTGTGAATCAATAATTCATTAACTCAATAACATTAATAGAGAACTAACTGAGCCTATTATTTTACTAAAAATAGAAACCGATTTTATGTCAATTTAAAGCTTTTTTATGTTAAAGTACTTTAAAAACTGAAAGCTGTATAACTCATGACATAAAGCGAGCTTAATTTAATCCTCATCGTTGAATAATTTATCACCAGTTTTCCTTCCCTGTTAATACCCATTTTACTTCAAAATTCTCCCTATAGACCGGAAAAGTAAACCTGAAATTAAAGTTTTTCATCGTAATCGCGCCACTAATAATATTACATAAGAAGTCAATGACAGCGTATCGACCAGTGGTCAAAGGAGCCTCTTGTACAAATTACGAATCCGTGTCATCGATCACGAATTTACATGTAAATATTTCATGAGCGGCATCACAATTTCTGCCGACCCATTTAGCCCTTTCTCCGGCCGTTTGTCGAATTTTTAAACTCGAAATTACGTCTTCGACGTTAAGCCGTACACGAGAAATAATGGTAGTTTGATTCACGAGCCCCGACATTTCAAGGTCCACGTTTTCAGGTTTCGACTTTATCGAGCGAAGGCCCAACGGAATAATCCGGTTCGAGAAAAAACCGTTTCGTGTCGATCTGACAGCGATTAGCGGTGATTAGTGCGTTTTATTTTAGACCACAATACTTCGAAAATAGACCCTCTATTATGGTTCATCTGTTGGTTAATTTTAGAGGGCTCTCAAATTCGAATCAATGGTATAATAACATCCTAAATTTCTCTGTTAAACGTCGGTTTTTGTATAAGTAAATTTCGTATTCCTAATGCACGATAGCAATAATCTCATCTACATACCGGGCTTTTGTTCTTTGTTCCAATCTGTTCGGCATTCCCTTTGCGTTACGTGATTTTATGTAAATGACTCTACATGATCCGCTGGAATTTTCGCGAAATTTTAACATCGACGTTAAATTTGAATAACGCAAATTGCTGGTAATTACTATTTCCCCGTATGTATTCGGATTTTTTCGCTTCGAACGGGCCTTTTCCGCGAACCAAGAGGCCCTAAATGGCAAATAAAAGCTCAGATTTCATTAATTATGTGTCACTTAAACCGAACCACTCATTGTTCGCATAAACATTGTTCTCGACCCCGTTCGTTCGGTTGGCAGGAATCCCTGAAAGGCGAATCGAATTCTCTGGAAAAACACCAATGAGAATTCCCATTTAAATTCTTTCCAACTTCTTTAATTCCCTCACTGTTTAATTAATGCTTACCGGAGTATCGCGTATGAACGTATGAATCTTTTTGTGATTTAAAGCTCGAAATTGGCCGTGGAAGAAACTTCAATTTGCAGGAATTTCGCTTTACGAGTCCGGGCAGGCAGGGAGTTTTTTACTGTACGAACTTTTAACTCGGTTTCCTGAAGTCGAGCGTTAAAAATTCATACGTAAACCTTGTTTTATCCGGGTCTTAGATGAAGGACGAGCTCCAAGATGTACGGAAGACGGCCAATATTTCTCCAAAAGATTTACGTGAAGGTTTTGAACGGAAATAATTCCAGAAAAACATTACTGTATTTTTAAACTCTGCTGTGGACTTTTAAATCTTTCTTTGAGACAGTCCTGAACGGGTTAGAGACTACGAAAATATAGTAAATTTAATTTTTTCTGTTGAATATCCAAGGTTTTTTGCGGCGAGTCGAAGAGGTTCAAGAGATACGAATTAGGAAAGAAGCGATAAAAACGGTTGATGGGTTTCTTTCGTGATTTCAGGTGCTAATGAAATCTCACTTGTACTTCTTCCTTTCGCTAAATTACATTAAAAGTTTTCGAATGATGGATCCTAATTTCGACATTTTATTGGGTATTAGGGCCTTTCCTCCGCCTCATTTTCCGTCGAATGTACAATTTTCCATCCTTCTAATAAATTAGCTTATTTATTTTGCACGCATTATTTCTTAAAGTGATTGAATTCATGCGAATATCTTACGGTGCATGTTTATATTGTAAAACACGGAAACGCTTTTAAAGCGAGCGAAATTCCCTTAAATATCGCTCACATAATTCAGAAAATTTGAATGAATAATTCCACGGGTTTTTCTCCGCTTCCAACGATACAACGTAAAACTATTTAACGATCGAAATTCATTAGAATTCCAGTGCCCTCATCTCCAAACTGTAATTTCGCAGCTGCGACCATTTGATAAATCAATAGTCGTTCTTTATTCTTTTCCTTCCCGGAAAACTCGGTCCTAATTTATCTTCATAAAACGCTAGGTTCTAACACTCCTTCGCCCAACTTAACACGTTTAAGAGTATTCAATCGGGCGATTTGTAGGTACAGGAATGAAAAGAAAAAAAGATTCTACGATTTCTGTGCAGAACCGGAATGAAAATATCGGTACATTTCCTTATGGATATACAGGCTAATGTAACTCCATTTTCGCTTAATCGATACAAGTTAGGATTCTAAAGGTGCGCGTGCATTACGAAATAATATTTCAAGATTATACTTTCTGCTTTAGGGGATATTATTTGATGCATTTCGGTTCGGTCGTATAAATAAGATACTTTACACTTCTCGTGGGGTTTTCGTATAAGGAGTATAAAGAGGCTTTTTCGACTACGTACAGTACGCCGGTATAATTTATGCAGATTAGTTCTATAGCAAATTTCTTGGCAATTTACCGATGGGATTTCCAGATTTAGGCCGGCGATAAGGCGAAGCCAAGAAAATAGATTTCGCTCAATTCGCGCATTTATCAGGCTATTTCGAGTTTACCTAGCGAAAAAATATTGGAGGAAATTCGATCATCATCGTCTTCGCTACGCAAACGAACTAATTGGAAAAAATAGCAACAGTTTCCCTTTGATCAACGGCCGTACTTACGATCTCTCTCATCTTGAGGAAAGCGTTCTTGTAAGTTAATTTCCGGGCGACTGCCGGAATGTCGTTACTCATTTCGCTTCGACCCGATGAATATCCATGGGATTCCCCCCTATATTGCGATCACGGCTCCCGATCTCTTTGTCACCCCGAGCCTTGATCTTCCCACCAAATGTCACACGTCCAAACGCTCCGGTGACGGACCTAACCGGACGAAAATAATTAATTCGATTTCACCTTTCAAACAATACATAATGAATTCAAATGTAAGTTAGTGGAATTGTAGCAAGTTAGGATGATAATATAGGCATTTTCTGTGTGTATGGTATTTGGGAATACCATGTAGCGGTGGAAAATGGGTCCGGCTAAGTTTGGATTTCCACCACTACCCTGATTTTCACCCCTACCTGTGTAAATAAGGTCGTGGATATAAGGTCTAATCGATGAACAGCTCACACTCGCGAACTGTGTTGTGGATTCGCATAAATGTCGTATATAGGTGTATTTTTATCGTGTTTCTAAAAAAGAAACTCGCTAACTAATAGGTGTTATTTAAATAAATTAGAGTTCGCTTCTACATGCCTTGTTCTATTAATTTTATCAGCACGAGGGAAGCCTAAAAATCCTTTCTAGCGCGTCTGTTCCCTTCTTGCGGGCGTATCGTAAGTTCTCTTTATGTTATTACATTCCATAAAAGCGACATAATGAACAAGAAAGTGCTTAAACAGCCAAAACCGCCTTTCCGGAATCACTGCAGATGGGTTTTGATGTTCATAAGGGCGATTTATCTTGTCGAGGATTTTTGCATTTTTTATTTTAGAAATTAAAATACCAACTTACCTATTTTCACAAACAAACTTGATACTGTTAAGTAGATATTGTTCAAACTACAGTAAACAGGATTCGTCGAACTATTTCCACGAAGATAACGTTCGAAACTGCCATGATAGTTTAGCAAACTAGGCGAATACAGAAAATGATTGCCTGAAAATTAACGACATGAAATAAACTCATGAGCGCCGCTTCAACTCATCTTCCCAGAATTATTTCAAATCGCCTAGTTTAATTAATATTGCCTTTACCTGGTTTAACAAGATCGGAAATTGATATAGCTTTTTTTGGAAAAATAATAGAAGAATTTCGAGTGAATAGTGAAATAGTTAAGTGCATACGAGATTGTCTGGATGCGCCTCTGACGGGTTTATATTTAACCGTTCGAGATGTTGTCGTTTAAATTAGGATAGTTAGCAGAAATTTAGGGAGTTCATCGGAAATGTCACCCGGATCGCAGCAGTTTTCCGAACGCCATGTCTATGGAAATTCGACACGCGACACGGAAGATTCAAATAATTACCGAATAGCAAATTGTGTCTCTGCATATTCCGAAGATTCGTGTAGATAACGCGATTTAGCGAGCGGCCAATAAAACCTCGAAAATCGCGTCACGTGACTGAATTAAATCGCTCTTCATATCGCATTTTGTAATGCAATAAATTCATCTTTTAAATTTCCGACGTCTCGTCTCGTTTATCTCCCGTCGAAACAAAGCGGGAGCGACGTTATTTTTTCAATCCAATTTCTCGGAATCCACCCTCTGCGAAAATATTTGCGCCCCGTTAAAAGCTACCGGATAATTTCATCTTTTCGAGCCAATTTCGTTCAGAAAGGGGTTTAGATTCGACGGACCAATTAGCGATCGAATTTCCACTCGAATTAAGGCGGAGTATCGAATTCGATTGGAAATTTAACGGCCGTCGAAAAAATTCGATCCCAGTTTCCTTAGCTTGTCACACTGACATCGATCTCTGCAAATCCGAAACGAAAGTAACCGTTCTAAATGAATTTGGAAGATAAATTCCAGAGAGCCGCGAGTGATATAAGGAATCTAAAGGAGACTCCTGACGAAGGAGACCTGCTGGAGATCTACGGGTTGTACAAGCAAGCCATGCTTGGAGACAACAACACAGACCGCTCGAGATTTACCATAGAAGACCTGAAAGGTAGAGCGAAATGGGAGGCCTGGACCCTCATGAAGGGCATGAAACAGGACAAGGCCAAGGAGCAGTACATTTCCAAAGCGCAGAAATTAATCGAGCGGATAGGACTGAAAAAAAACTACTATCCTTAAAAGCTATTATTATTAGTTAAATCACTGTAAATGCTAATAAAGCAGTTCAATCGATTGGAAAAAGTAGTTCATTCTGTCAAGTTCAACGCGAACCGTTCGCAAGAAAGGGCATTTTGGCCTAGATAATTTCGCACGCGAAGCGATTCAAGGACCTTCACAACAACAATTCCCAAATAAAAGGATTTTTCATATGCTTAAAACCGATTAATTACGTTCGCGTATTAAACGAATTGCGAATACCAAATGACGATGAAACATTAACGGAACGTCTCGAGGATCCCGGGATTGGAATCCTGAGAAATTAGACGGAGATTCGCGGGTAGACGACGAGCTAATGGCAAACAAGTAATTTCTGTTTCACCGGTGATTTGTCATAAGGCAATTAATGCTAATTGAAAAGGTACTGGAGAGGAAGAAATCCGGGAATTAGCAGCGTACAGGCGGATATGTAGGGCATAGAGGAAGATTGCCGTCGATGATTCGATAAACTGGGAAACTTTATAGGCACAATTTATGTTTGTCCTCCAAAAATTTTGGTTAATACTCCTGGTTATAGGATACTTTATTAATTATATTTTCTAGTTTGTTGTTGTAATACAGCAATTTATTGTAGTTAATGCAGTAACCGCGAATATAAATTCAATTGAAACTTTGCTCCTTAGCCGATAAGCCCTGCTCGAAACCCTTTCTGGGGGGTTAAATTAAATATAAACGTGTACGATTTTAACATTGAATTAATTTCGCAATTTCTACGGATACCCCCTTTACCCGTATATACCTACTAATTTGTTTTCTGAGGCGTATACAATCAGCAAATAGGTAGAACGTAGACGTAGAGGCGAATTATTCAGTTAGCGAGTTTCTGACGTTTGTGTATTTTGCGTATGGAAATTGAACTAACCGAATTAAATTCGGGATTAACAAGCGAAACTTTTGTCGAGCGTGTTAGATATATCGTTAACGGCCAATCAAAAGAAATCGTATTAAAGGCTACTAAAGTGATGATTCGCCGGGTTAAATAAAAACCGAGCAAAAGAAGAGGAATTAATTCGCGAACGCGAAGACCACAAGGGCAGAATGATTGATAAGCGATCGGGTAATCGATATTTTCTACAGGATTATCAAGGTTACGATTTCGCGGGAGGGCGATACTGAGAACGAGATCGGATGCAACGCATCATTAAAACGAAACGCGATCGCTCTCCCTGAGGTTCCGCGAAAATTTTCGAAATTTAATACGGCCTTCGAGGAAGGGAGAATATACAGGACGGAGCGTGACTAATAAGGAATTCTTCCATTTTCTCTCTATCTTAATTTAGGGCAAATAGTGTGGGGTATAATTATTATTTTGCGGTGATTTCAACGATGGGTTGGTGCAGATTATCGATAACAATGGGAGTTTTTCCATTGGAATTTTCGAAAATTCGAGACTCGATCGTATATCAATCGGGATATTCGGCCCATACTTATTCAAATTCGAATTCCCCCTAATTCTCGATGTAAACGACTTTCGGATAGACCGCCAGGAAAATTTATGCCCTTATCAATCTGGCGTAGTCGGCCCGATGTTTGTGATAGATGGCGGGTTGCGGTAGGAGATTATTGGCATTTTCGCGCATATGGATCAATCGCGAACTCCCATAAACTGTTATTGCTTTTCCCGAAATTAATTTTTAGTTTTCCCCTCCGCTTGCGGTTATTCTAGTGCTTAAAGTAAACGTTACATTAACTCGACAATCGGGAACCCGCTACAGTATACGGAGACAGCTAAAGTATGTGTAACTTCCCGAAGGCGACTCTACGTAAACACTGAACACTTCCTGGTTTGTAGCTCGAGGAGTTCCCTCGCACTTCAAACTTAATTACACTCCTTAATCTGCGGCTCACGAGCGTCTCTTCCCGATAGGATACCAACCGACTGCGCCATGTCAATTCCGTTAAATTAAAATGATTAATGGTTACGTTAATTAATAACCTGGCGGGTATTAGGTTGTGTTTGGGGTAATTATAACCTTTTGTAGCAGATTAGTGCACGGTTTTCATTAAAGGGTTAAAATGACCGTACAATTTAACTATACATGGGTTATTTAGCACCCAAACTATCAATTAAACGTGCACGAATTGCGAAATAGCGCGGAAATGACGTTTTGCAAAGTCGCTTTTGCGACAGAAACAGACATCTCCATTTCGTACCAACTAATTCAAAATGCCCGATTTTCGTGCAGACTCGATTGTGAACGTAACTACGTAATTTTAAGGTCGTTAGGGCAGCTGCGAAGTACGTGAAGGGGATCGTATTTGTCGTCGGGGTTTCTGTTACGCGATGGGATGAATTGCTCGGAGATACGATGTGTATTGTGGTAACGCGAGACGGGGAAATATGTGTATACAGTAATTTAATTTCTGACTTGTTGTGTATTGTTTCAAGTACGGGGGAAGATTTATCCGTCACGTGTATCGCGAAATCCGCTATCTGGCTTTATTAAAGTATCGATATTAAATTGATATTCTAATTTAACGGGCTCGTGGGCTATAGATTAACCGGCCGGTTAGATGATTAACAGCTGAACGATTTAATTCAATGCGGCTATTGTTTATTGAACGTTATACGTGTAGGTGAAGCGGAATATGTTATTTTTATTAATTATCGATCGTTATAACGTTGATTGTGCGAACTGGACGAAATTCCAATCGATCGATTGAATTAAAATTTTATTTTTCGATATTCCATAATATTCATGCGCCGATAAATTCGATGTTATTTGTTAACCGCAACTAATTCATTAGCACGCGTGCAACGCTGGTTTTAAATGGAAATATTGCGGAAATAAATGTTATGGCGAATTGTGAATATAATCATTTTTTATAGAGAATATAAAACGAAAATATATAGGCGTGTTAAAGAGTGAATGCATTTCAGTGATTCCTGATGGAGAATTTTTCAATAAAACGCGCGTTTTCCATTCCAATTGATAGTACGGTATTCCAAATGGAGAATGTTCCAACAGAGATAAATAAAATGCATACGGAACGACATTTCTGTGTTCAAAGATTACGACTGTCTTCGCGCGAAATTCTCGAATGATAAATACATAGTGAATCTATCGATTTTCCACTATCGAATGCACGGGAACACTAAGAGATAATTTTCGTATCATTTCCATAGGCGTTTTCTTCTCTTTCGCTTCAAACTTAAAGTAGAATTCACGTCGCTAAAATTCATTTCGTCTCTCCTACACGTGCACTTTTCCGTTTCCCCGAAATTACGCCGGAAAATCCGTTCGGAAAAACCCACCCGCGTATACGAGCGGCGGATTACCGAGACTTTCCGATGTTTTTCGCGGAAAAAATCCCGATGATGTGACAAGGGATGAGAATTCTCCTCAGAAAAAACGAACAGCGGAAAGTCGAATCCACCTAAAAATCCAGTGCTCCCACATAAACCCCTTATTTCCCAAGTATAAAACAGACACGTAAAACTTCACACGTCAGTTTACTCCGGATGAAGTCTCTATAATTAGGTATATGTTAATTAAATGTTGTCGGTTTACCCTTGAATCACAAACCAACCATATAGAGGGAAAGTTTAATTAAGAAACCGCCCATCAATTAATCATTCGCCGTCATGTAAACGTTTTGTACAGGAAAAATTCACCGCCCTCGGGCTTGTCCTGCTCTATTCATCACCCGAATCCTTGCCAGATGTCGGCCAAGTTTCGCCCGGAAGGTCTTTTTGAAGTCGGTTTTTAAGAGGTTTAATGCGGGAGTTTTTTTTACCCGTCGGCGAGAAAGTTTCTCTCTACAGATATTTCGACTAATCCAGAAATGTTCGATGTGTTTATTTACATTAAAGAGGCCTTTGGAAAGTTGGGCAGATTAATCGATTTATCCGTAAAAGTTGGATTAATTTCCGCGTTAAAATTGAAAATAAAATAAATTTTAAATATCTAGCCGGACAAAAAGGTGGCGTTAAATTTATTCCTTTCGGATTAAATTTAATTAAATTTCGAGTCCTCGAGTTGCGCGCTTGGAAATTATCTGCCTTTTGTATTCGGCCATGTAGAATTTGGACACACATTTATCTAATTCCATAATCTAATACAAAAAGTTTAATTATTGTGCCTATTTAACGGAGTTTTCACGAGATATGAACATTTATTATTCACTGTTTGTTATGTGCATAAATAACGCATCTACTCTTATTACTTTTTCATATTTTCTCTCTACATTTATTTAACATTCTTCGCTATTTCTATTACTAATTCTATTTCTCTTTTTTGTTACGCAGAAACGGAGAGAAAACTTTGCTTATCACAAAGGCTAGGTCAGCAGAGCAGTCGGTCATATGGAGGTATGAATTGATGTTGTATTTTGTGTGTATTTCCATTTTCTTGTACTTGTTCTGTTCTAAATGTTTCATTTTAGACAGTTAGATTTGTATAAATATTTGTAATGTACATTTATTCTGTTTAATATCAAATCTAACTGTCTATATTTTGGTTACTTTACTAATTATTTTTGAGTTATAATCGAGCACTTAGTGACAAACAAAGCTGTTTAAACGGTAGTCGATGGATAAATTGCTTTTAACAAGATTACCGAGATGTTCTCGTATTTTTACGATCCTTTACGGCTCTATTATTATCTTTATTATTAGAGCATTCCTTCAGGTCCCTCTTTATTGATACCATAAAATGTTATATCGGATGAAATTGCGCCGAGAGAAAAAAAACAACATTCATTAATATTTTTTATAGATCGACCTGAAAGCGGGATTTCTTAGTGTTATTATTTCGCATTAAAATAGGTGTAGCGCGAAATTCGAAGAAAATCCCGAACGACTCGACTTAGGACTAATTACATTTAGGACGGAATTGAAGCAAGAGACGAGAACGCCGAAAGGAATCCTTGAAGTGGTTGTTTTTTTTTTCATTATTCCGCGTATTGCAGCCCTTTTTACGGGCGTCGGTAGTTCATTTGCGAGAGTACAGCCAGATGAATGGGCTGCCTGGAAAAAATACGCGCGAAGGAAAGGACTAGTCGCGAAAAACAAACAACGAAACGAGCGTGTATATGAGCTTAGAAGCTGAGTGTTTAGAAGATCCTCCGGATTCATCGGAAAATTCGCTCTTTTTTCTATTGCTCTATCGATTGTTGTTGGTAGACAATTATTTTTCGCGGCCGCTCATTTAAATTGGCGCTTCTGCCAGCCGCTTGCGACTCGACCATAGAGGCATTAATTAACCTTGACCCGGAAAACTTGAATAAATCAAGCGAAACACGCTCCGCCGGCGATATTATCTGTGGACAGCTTTCGAACTGAAAGAACACACAATGTTATCTGTTTCAGATACAAAGCAAGGAAAAATCGACGCTAGGTTAAACGAAAAAAATTGTATAATCAATTTTGAATATTGGATTTATCTAAAAATTGTTGGTAATTCAACTTGTCTATTAACCGAGTTGATAGGTATTTTAAATAATCGACGAAACAATGCATGGAAAACACCAGTGTGACGGTGAAAAAAGCCCTTGATAAGGCTTTTCCCACGCATTCTCGTTTGGTCGATATTCATTTTCCGGGAATTTGTTATCTCCATTATGGCAATCTGTGCTAACACGAAATACGCTAGCCAGATAATTCGAATGTGCTTTGATGATCACTAAATGGCTGATATTTCGACAGCGATTCAAAAATTCCAACGATTATTTTGCGCTTTTTTAATATGGTACATTTAACATCGCTTATTTAAGCATTAATTGGAATGGTCTAGGTCAAAAATAGATAATTTTGATTAGCAGGAGAGTTGGAAAATACTGCTTGCTATACACTTTTGTTATAAAAAAAAAGACAGCGTAAAATCCTTATTTTCAACGATTATTACCGAAAAAAAATTGTTTCCTTAAAACTAGCTGCATTTTCCAAGCAAGAAGCATTTTTCAAGATAAAATTTCCCAAACTCCGAGTTGAGTTCCGACTTCCGAAGCGGAAACGAGCAAAAAAAAGTCTACCAGTTCCACTAATTCCAACAGAGCTCCATAATTTAATTAAAGCCATTATGACGTGCAGATAAGCGAATAGTCGATTTACAAAACGCGCTGTGTAAACTTAAAAAAAATGTCACTGGTTTTCATGTTTCAGAATCGTCGCCTATACATTGTATTAAGTAAGTCAAATTAGCGGAAACTTATCTACTTTACTGCTGAATTTGATATGCATAGGTATTTATTTTCTTCTCTCTTTACTCCACTTTGCCTAAATAGTGTCATTTAATCTATTTCTTTAGTAACTAAAGTAACATAGAAAGATGAACCTTCTTTAGCATGATTTTACGAATTTCACAGGAATGTTAGTCAATTAGTACGGGTGAATTTAATGGCGCATTATCCTTGGTAAAAAGTTTAATCCAAGGAAGTTTAGTATGCATTGAATTATTCCTGCACTTTTCGAAAACTTAAAATTCTAGATGAGCAAAGCTAAAAGTCTTTTGTAGATGTTCTATTTTAATTTAGAATAGTTGTATATAACTACATATTTTGTTTAAAGTGACCGTTTGCCATTTCGAACTCCTCGGATACTCCCAAGTTTGAATGATCAATGCGCCCCAAATATATTCCTTTGATGCGATAAAACCCTTTGATGTATTCGAATAAACTATTGCCTTTAAGCAAATGGATTATACCTCTTATACCCTTAACTCCTTCATTACATGATTAATCTACAATTCGTACTTTTTGAACCAAGAGGATCAATAGTTTATCATCCCTTAAAACTACTTAACTGCAGGCTCTATAATCCTAAACCCGAATAACATCGACCTAAATTATCAATACGAAGAACTCTCTTGGGAAATTTAACTTATCACCGGTCGAATAAAAAAGCCGCTCTCCAGCCAATCTTATCTTATGACTTATACAGGATCTGGCCTATTGTTTGACCTCTCCTTCGGACTCAGCCGGCGTATCAATAAAAAAAAACGGTATCGCTCATCACTATCTGTCAAAACCACTCGCCGGGGAAGCTTTAATAATGAAGAAATCCTCCCCGAACTGGCCTCTTTGTCTCTAATTCGCCGCCTTCGCCATAGGCGTGCAAAAAGACGCTTCAACCCGAGATTAATCGCGCCGTGCATCCTTTCAGCGGGGGCGTCTGTCTCGATTCCGCTGATTAGGAGAACAGATCCGTTTCTCGGAAGCTCCTCGAGATTCGGATGCTACCCACTCCATATCGATCATCTCCGAAAAAGGCGAACGTGACCGGTTTTACAGCCCTGTTTTCATGGAATTTCCGTCCGGCCAAACGACGTTGATATTCCCGGTTAGTGCAACGCATTTTTATGGTACTCCGTACGGACGAAAACACCATCTATAGATCGCGATCGGTAACAAAAGAAGTGTGTCGCGACGAGCCGCCGATCGATACCCCAGGAAGCCGCCGTCGTACACGACGCTCAACACGCGAATCGACCTTCGAAGAGGATTCGCTGGAACTCTCACCACCGATTCCCGTGAGATGATATGATTCGAAAAAAATCTGCGTTCGGAAGATAAGAAAAGTTTCCTAGTACGTTGGCAATATTACTCTCACATTAGAGGACTTTATTGAAATCGAACAAATTCGATAGGGTAGGGTAGATTAAATCTGCCATTTGAATTATTAATAAATACAACAGGATCTTCTGATTGTAACATTTATTGGTGAAAACCACAATAAAAAAATAGTTACATTTCGAGATCTAAAAAGCATGTGTACATGTGTGCTTTTTAATTCGTAATCGCTTCCGAATGAAATCAATACGGCGAACGGGCACGCGAAGAATAAAAGAAAATTGATATACGTGTTAACTAAAATTACTTCCATTCCGTTTGAGTTATTTACACATCGATATGCTACAGTAGGCCATCGATATTTCATATCGAAGCGATGCCGTTTGGGTCGATGGACGGTGAAATCGTCCTAACCTAACCCAGTTAATAAATTCGAGTTTCTGCTACGAGGGAAATATTCGTTGCACATTTTCTCGCCCAGAGAAAATTTAATGTTAAAATACTTCCCTATTCAACGTTTCCCACAATAACTTTCCTGCAGGAATAACTCGGGAGTTTCGTTTCGAATATTAACTGAATTTGGAACTGACGTAGTCTCTGTTGCATTCAAAAACCCCCTTTTGATGTGGCCTATCTGAATGTTTCCGAATTTTCGCCGGTTCCATTCGGAATGCACAACATTTAATTTATCCAGAGGTGATAAATACAGTTGAAGAGATTGGAAATTTCCAAAGGGCAGAGTGTAAATAATTACTTCAGACAGTTAAATATTTGTAGATTATATTATTACCCGTTATTGAATAATCAGTAATTAGTCTTGTCCTTACTAACGTGCCTTCAATTGGAATATTAAATGAGCGTGTAGTTTCATGGAAAATTCAAAACGCCTACATTAATCAAAGCGATTGATTTGTTTTAAAATTCCGGATCGGTCGTTTTTGTGAATAATTTAACGATTCCGGCTGCAACGAACAAAATACCTATACTGCGCTTCTCGGAAGAGGGTTTTCCCCGCTTTTCCAACTTCATCCGAGTGGCGTTTAAACGCGCTAACTACTGCACTGAATGTGGAGAATTACCACCTCACACAGAAGGCTCTATGAGTATCACTTTACACGTTTTCATTATAGAGCAACTCATTATGTGCTCTATTATAAAAAGAGACGAAATTTTTAAGCCAACAAAGAATCCTCCTCGTTTTTAATCCGCTGTGAAAACGCGGACACTCTTTTGAAAAAAATCACAATACTGTTGTGACATATTGGTAGATACATACAGAAAAAAATGTAGAAATTGTAGAAAAAATCGTGGGGGATTTCCGAAATATTAGAAACATTCTCTGGACAAACTTTCAGGGTATTTGCGCACTGAAAATGGTATTTGGGCCGGGCTTAGGCTCATAATTAGCTGTAGTAACTGCAAGTTTGGAAAGTTTTATCAACAGGATTTAAACTCGACTGAACAATTACGCTGAAATTACAAAGAGGATTGTATTGAAATTAAAAGCGGCGGTGAAGTCGGTTTTATTCCATCTACTTATTGTAAGAAAATAGGAAAATATATTGCTAACGAACGAAATTCGAATTCAGCTAATGAATCAAATTAATACTCTTTCGCTCTAAATTGATTAGTTATTAATGAATTGTAGCCGGCATTATACCTATAAAAATTTAACGGGAAATATTAATATAAGGATTTAATATTTAATGGGTAAAGTAATTTAACGGGATTCAATATTAATATAAGGAAAGGGAGAATGTTTTGCAAAAAAGTGGAGAGAAAATTTTGTGCATAAAAGTAGAG